TGTCGTGAGACATTTCCGATGGCTGATCCATTGCGATTCGATGCCGCACGCCTCTGATTACCCGATTTGGTAATTCTACGCCATTCGTACTTTAGTGTACCACACACTGCCGAATGTTTGTTAAAAGAAGATGGAGACGTCGGCGGAGTACTAGCATGTTTTGCCTACTCGGCAGACTCGACGTTATACGATACGAGGCTCTGTGGGATAAAACCAATGATGCTTTGTTGTGAATGCTGACTCCTGCCGTGTTTCCCCGACCCTAATGACGGGGTCCTCATCCCAGCTGTAGGCTATTTATATTCTAGTCAAGTTTAGCCTCGATTGGGCAAATGTCCGGTGTCTCATGGTCGGTATACACGGCCCGTGTGAGTGATGGATGGCCTTGCGGCGTGGTGGACTTGGATTCGTTTCCGCGTTGGGGGCTCAAAGCTGCCCCCGTGATGAGGACTTGGTATCCTATCTGTGTGGCCGTCTGACATTTCAACTTGATTCCAGTATGACGGCTGGCACAGTTGGCGCGCGCTTAGAAACTAGAGGGATCGTGTTTCGAAATTGTCGGCTGGCGTCCGACTACACGTACATGAGCCGGAATGCAAGATGCGCTCTCAGCTGTGTAGAAGGGCGGCTGCTTCGCGTCTTTATATATCTATATAAGCGCGTGTGTGGATTTATACATCTTTATACATGACACACATCGCTGTCCCTTTGCCCAGAGTATTCGAGGACGACCAACACGCACAAGTAAAACACGGCTACGGTTTCCGACAACATCATGGCAAATGGCACGAGCCTCCATCCGTTCACGGAGGCTCTACTGCTCAGCCGTGCGGTCGTGTCCTTGGCCTTGAGTATGAGCATCATGTACTCCTTTGTGCCTCACCGATTTTGTACCTGGCCGACGGCCTGAGGGTGGTATTTAAACTGCTCTTCCTGGCAGCGTACAGGCACGCCGTCCCCCAACCACTCGACAGCTATCTGTATGTCTTTGGGCAGTTTCAAAGCTGGCATGTTGGCAGAATCTGGTCGTCTCTCGCGTCTGTAGCCGCCACGATACCGACCGTGCCCCAATTTGCATGGCGCCTGTTCAGGCTTACCGAGCTCATTAGGTGGGAGCGCTACATGGCGGAGCATCTCCCCGGCCTGGGTTGGGTCATCGCTTCCTGGGTGTATATTTCATCCATTGGCACCTTGGTGATATGGCATGTGGCGGGTATTGTGCTCTGGGGCGGACTCGCCTTGGAATTTGCGCTTCCGGCTTCCTTGGTGAATCGTTCGGCCAAGAAGCACGAGAGATTTCCGCTTGGGGCACGACGCGAACTGTATTCGTTAGGTCTTCCGGTTGCGTTTGCGAGTATGCTTTTGCCCTTTCTTTTGTCATCGGTACTTCTGTCTGGAATATTGAAGAGACGGGTAGCTTTAGGTGGGCAACCCAGATGAATCTCCGATCCTGGATGTCCATCGTGTTCATATTGACTTTTTTCATCATGTCTTCGCTGAACACTGTGTTGTCAATGCTTGGTAGCATTAGGGGTGTGCTGAATTTCGCTAGAGGTAACTCTATTGCTGTGCCTCTTTTATATTACGTCTCGATTTACGATGAGACTGAAACATCTTAGCTGAAACGGGTAGACATTCTGGGATAGCTTTGGATGTCTAAAACGAAAAAAAAAAAAAAAACCAAAATCACACGAGGGAGGACACACGTTTATGTAATACACAATAACACACATTCGTGCCTCCTCTTTCCGTCAGGCTGGAGCTTGGGATGCCCCTAGGAATGCCTTTCTTGTGCACAAATCTGGATTGCCGCCCCACACTCTCGTACCCTGGCTAATAGCCAAGTCCTGACACATTGAGAATACTATAACTGCTCCGTAATTAGTAGTTCAGGCAGTTGATAGGTACAGCTACATGGACTGATTAGCTTTGAGATGGCATTCAGTGATACACACCATGTCGTGTAATTGGATGTCATGGTCTATCGGGATGGTTGAGATGTTGCCATGTGAATGAAATGGTTGCAATTCCTATGGGAGAGTTGAATTCTATGGGTATGGGACTAGGTTGCATCACTGGAAAGCCCTGGGTATCAATGCGAGTCTTTCGGAGCATTCTTGGTCCTGGAGTAGACTAGTTGCAGGTGCTGTCGTTGTACCACGTGGATACATACTGGGTTCATCGTTGTTATAGACTTCAGGGGGTTTACAAAAAGGGACCTCCAATAGTCGCTGGCGCCGATAACCGGCATGTTGTTGTTGCGCCCGGGATATTGAACCGGCCGTCTACCAATTCAACCCATTAACTTTCCGAGCTCAAGCCTGAAAACTTGACAGACCTGGGGGAGAGATGTACATACTCGCTGCGGAAATTCATCAGAAGTTGGTCGATCTTAAGGGGTTGGCGCAGGATTGCACTGGCTGAGCTGGCCCCCTGGGAGTTGGTTCCCCTTTTATTAATAGCAGCTGGTTTGATCTGAGCCAGGCTCGAAACACGGCTGCATATTTATCAACCCTTGTTTTTGAGGTGCATGTGTATTCGGCCGGCGGTCGACACATCACCGTTTTACACGAGGGTCTGGTTCGAGGAGCATTTCCTCCTGGCAGGGAACGCTACGCCTAATCGCATTCAACACCTGTCGAGAGTTCCGGCTTCTTGTCGAGGCAAATATACCTGCAGGAACTATTTTGACTTTTTAAGCTTGATTTGCGATTTGCTTCATACTGAGTTGTGGCTGCTGATTCCAGGGTCCTGCGGTCAGGTCAGTTCAGCTAATACAGTAGCTTCTTATGTTGAAGTCGTCGTTAGTCTAAAGTTAGAATTTTTATTACATGGGAACCAACGGGGAGTTTGTTATTCACCGGTCGGTGCCAGATAGCCAATGAGGAACAAAATGGCGCACGAGCGCCTCGCTAGTAAATACTACCTAGGTAGGTAGTGACGGAGATTGGGGGCACTCCGTAGATGTCGTGAGAAAACAATATGGAGGATGAATTACCAGTCCCAGTTCACGATGCCCGCAAGGAAGGAAGTAGCAACGTCCCGCCAGGACGCTTGAGCACTTGCGCACTTGAGCGTCATTATGAAACATCTCAAGCGGGCCCCTGCCAGGGCCGCGGATACATGACATCATTGTACCGCTAAGCGGCGCACGGCCGCCGTTGGTACTTTATCTCATTGTACAATGTAGCAGCCAACAGATGCAAGTTGTTTCATCTTTACTCTTTCCCCAGTTCCAGAGCGCCGCGGTTGGACGGAAAGAGCATCCCTGGTGCATACCCTGGTCGTCGAGTGGCCCGTGGCAGCCCATGGTGACCTATGACAGCCCATGACGACAAAAGTCTCTGCAGCCTCGGCCCTCGCTTGCCGCCGCCTCCTCCAATCCATCCATTGTCTTGTACAATACTCCGTACTCCGTACTCACATCGGCCAATTTCTTGGGCTCTTTGCTGGCGCATGACAGAATATTGTCATGAGATATTTTTTTTTGCCCGTCGCCATTTTCGAGCGAGCGGGCCAGGAAGCCCTCGAACGTGATTGCGGGTTTTCAAGTATTATGGAGCGCGCTTTGTTCGTTTTGCGCTTCTGTCGACTTCTTCAGCACTGACGCGATCTATCGGTCGTGATGATTGCATGGTACATGTAAAACCGCGCGACGTCGTGTGACCATGTTTGCCATGTTCGTGCCGCAAGAACATGTTGGGCAGTCATCCTGGTGCCATGTCAAACTCTGGGCTTCCAGCTGCCACTTCGGGCCCCATGTCCTTATCAACACTGTTGGCCCGGATCATCAACATCCTAAGCCTGCATCACATTAGTTACTCTGCTTGCCCAACCAAGCCCCGTGTTCCTGACCCCTGTGGGTCGCCTTCGAACCTCTCGATATTGGCCTCGACACGACATCTCTTTGAGGACCCTGCGTGGACCAAGCCTTCCTGGCCAGAAGAACAAGCCTCGCTAAGCCCACTGGTCAAGGGTCTGGTCCTTTTGGTCCTTTTTTTTCTCCTTGATAATTTATTCATGTACTACGTCCTCTTCGCATACAAGACAAGACAATAGAAATAACGAGGCTGGCCCTCGGCATAGCTGGACTGGTTTGGGAGTGAGCGCACATTCCTCCTCAACAAGTGGTTCAAGGGCCGTCGACATTGAACAAGGCGATCGTCGTCCAGCACGCCCCAAAACGAGACAGAGGGGACAATCTTCATTCACAACCTCCCTACCACCGGGTGGATCGACATAGACGAGGAAAGGGATCGGCTTGTTGGCTTATGCTGGCGTTGATCAGCACACTTCGAGACGCTTCATCCCATCTCGCCACTTGGACTGACGCTCGTGTGGTTTTGGCGTCCAAGGGGCTTGGACTACTATAACTAGGCCTCACCTGCTTTTCCCAGCCATACTGTGTGGTTTTCATGTTTCGTTGCATGAGCGAGTTTCTCGATTTTCACATTCATTTGTTTTCTCTGCTGCGTTGCTATTCCCCTGGGCCCTGCCCGTCACATTCGACCACATCGTCTCGATCCAAGCCGTCGTGGAGCAATCCTTGCGCCCAGTTACAACCTGGACCCCAGCAACTCAGGACGATCACCGCCAACCTGCTTCATTTTGCCATCCGCGGTGGAGAGCATTCTTCGACACCTTCCCTGATGACGCGGGGGGGTTTCTAAATTCGATTCTATATTCCTCTTTCTTCAGACGAAGGGACCGGGCTGTCTGCCATTGTGCCGATCACCCGACTTCGTCATAACGGTCTCCCGTCCCGATTTCTTCACATCATCCTCAACGCCACGCCCATTCGGTTATACTCTTCCGCTTCATTTATTTCCTTCCTTACTTAATTTCTCTTTTTCTTCTCTAAAGCGTCGCTCATCTCCTTTCTTTCTCTCCCCCTATCTCTCGACTTGATATTTTGGCTTCCTTCACCCTCTTCAATTTTTCACTTGATGCATTTCGTCACCATCTGAGGGCATGCTTGGTTCGCCAGTTTCGGCGACAAAATGGCGACTCGACTCGATCTATCACAATCTTCTGTGCACGGAAAAGTTATGGTTGCGCCGCCGCGGATTAACTTGCGCCGAACTGCCTCGTACAATGACCGCAGTGCTGGCACAATTTCATCGACCTCTTCTAGGTTAAATTTCAATCACCTTCTCTTTTCACCACCCCCATCCCCTAGCCTCCCAGCTCTTGTACCGAGGCGAAGAAGGTCAAAATCAGACCTGTTATTCAAGCATCGGCCTAGTCGCATTATTAGGCGATTGTTGTACTTGTCCACCCTGCTGGCGGGCTTTTACTTGTGCGTCTTTGCCTTTCGACACCGCAATGTAATACATATTGCGTTGCCATATTTTAGCGATCCTCAGTATGAGATGGTCGGCCAGGATAGCTTCCCGGACTTTCCGACACCGATTGTTGTTCATGACTCGAAGAAGCGGTCGAAGTGGACGGTTTCCATTCCTCGAAACTACGAATTCCCGTTGTCGATAAAGGAGTACTCGACCATGAATGCCCTTTGCCGGGAAGTATCCGCTCGAGCCAGAGATCTCCACCACAAGATGCCACTGTCGGATAAGATATTATTATCTTACGACCGCCCAGATGACTATTTTGTCGATGTTTCCGAGGCCGAGAAGACGGGTCTCCTCCCTGCCATCTCCAAGGGGCAGCCACCCCGGCATTCTGGGCAGTTTTCCGGGCTGAGCTATGAATCCATGTCTGACAAACCGGTTTGCGACAGGTCGCTGACATATGTCTTGGAGAGCCCGGATGCTGGGCTTGGCAAGGCAGTCATGAATTTATGGACACTGTATGCCCTGGCAAAGGAACAAGGCAGGGCTTTCTTCATCGACGACTCTCGCTGGGCATATGGAACCTACACTAGCATTTTTCAAGCACCACCAGTTCCTGATTGCCGCCCACCGCCACGGCACCAGATGCTACCATGTCCAGCACAAACCCGACATTTGGTGGTTTCAAGTGTCACAATGCAGGATGTGCTTCCAGCACTCCTTGCCAAGCATCAACGACAGAGTCACTCCGATTTGGGAACGCGTGATCTCTTTGGGCTTGCACATACGGGGTACAAGGCGCTTTTCAAGCTCTACGAGGATGACGAGGTCTACGTCGACAAACGGATTCGAGATCTCAAAGCCAAGACCAGATCTAACCAAGGCATTCCTGTGAATTCACCGATCATCGGGCTTCATATTCGGCATGGGGATCGTCATCCCTTTGAGTATCAGTATCGAGACACTTACATACCCGCAGAGGTGTTTGCAAGCTACGGACACAGTCTAGTAGAAGCCCACTACAACAGCACCAGTCTCGAGCGCGAGAAGTATCATGCCGTTCGAATTATTGCCTCAGATGACCCCATGGTACATGAAGAATCAGAATTCGCTGATGCCCATCTCGCACAAGAGCATATTCGTCTTGCCACAAAGCAGGTCATTCAAGACTCCAACAAAAACCCGCAGTTCCTCCATTCCTTTAAGGAGGAGGCATTTGGATGGGAGGGCGGCTTCTTTGCAGCAATGTTTTGGAACTTTGGTGGAAAGCCCACGCACAGCGCTGCCGACGAGGACACTACAAAGGCTCCGTCCGAAGAGATGCTGGGATTACGAAGCCTTGTTGGGCGAGCCTACATGATGGACCTGGCGGTCTTATCCGGAGCAAGCGACAAGGTCGTCTGTGCTGTGAGCGCCATGGGTTGCCGGCTACTGGCAGTGATGATGGGATGGGAGCGAGCAATGGACCACCGAGGCTGGCGAAACGTGGATGGCGGGTATGGATGGGGCGGACTGAATTTGGATTGAGTTGGGGCTACCGAGAGAAGAATATTTGGAACCAAACGGTTTTAGTTGAGCTGGCTAGCTTCTCTAGCGACGTGCTGCCAGAAGATAAGACTGGATAAACGGAACAACGGCCACTATCTCGTTATTGACAGCACGGCTTTTGCGGCATTGTTTTGGCGTTTGGTTGATGGGCATAGTATCATTAGCAACTTTATACCTGAAGTTTGTTTCTGTTTTGGCCCTTTTGATACAAAGACCCTCGTTAGCATATAGGCTCTCAATCAGTGTGGACTGGTTTTCATCTGAGGGCAGTGTTTCAATTCCAAATACGTATGAGATGGATCAAAGAAGCTAACTTGCGATTCCATCCAACTTCGAGTCTCCATATTCTCTGTCGAGTGATTTGCAAAGTGAAGTTGTAGATTTTCTGACCACGAAAAGGGTAATAAGCACATCAAACAAGCTTACTATTGCTTGGATTATTCAGTTGCAAGAAATACTCGGGGCTTTTGGGTGTGGCGTCTCGAGCTGGTACCCACCGCATGCGCAACATCGAGGCCGTGCTGCCCCACACAGTGACCCAATCGTCTGTGGTCCAATCTAGGGACGTGGAGCACCGTGACTTCAATTCAATCCAAGCTCTCTCCTTCAACTCCTCCATCATCCACATCACCACCCCCAGTCCGCACCATGTCTGCGCCAGACCCCGGCGGCGCGGCGACGGAAACGCCAAAACCAAAACTAAAAATCAACATCAGCCGGTCCGCATCCTTTGTCGGCGACGCAGCAGCATCAGCAGCACCGGCATCTGCGACGCCAGGCGACGGCCCACGCAAGGTGAAGCTCAAACTCACCTTGTCACAACCTCCAACTCCCGCCACAGACCAAGCACCACCCGCCAAAACAAAAGCCGGTCGTCAGACAAAGCCGAGCCAGAAGCTCGTCGAAAGCAGGAAACGACCGCACGACGACGTTGAGGACCTGCCACTGTCACAGACGGCAGGCAGCCAGGCCACCAAGATCAAGATTCGGCCGGGCGTCAAGTCGGCTCACACCCAGGTAGTGTTGAAGCCGCGAGGACGCCCGCCGGTCCACCCCCCCGGTGACGGGTACGATTCCGAAGCGAGCGATCGAGAGTTGGACCCGGCCATTGAGGAGCAGTTTATCCTGCGCATGCTGCCCGGCGAGCACTGCGACTACGTACGCTGGTGCATGGAGAATGGCAAAATGGGCATTCCTCGAGCCCAGGGCGGTGCGGACATCACCATCAAGTTCTTCGACGAGGACACGCGACGGGCCATCATGACCGTCAAAGGCCAATCCTTTGCCGCCGTCATGGTGGACCTACCCACCATCACCGAATCCATGAAGACGTGGGATCGCAAGTCCTTCATGAAGTCTGCAGATATTTGCCAGATGCTGCTTGTATTCCAGCAAGTTAAGAACGAAGAGGAGGCCAAGCGCGCACAACTACCCACCATGATCGACACCAACTTCAAATGGCCGCACGGCGTCACGCCGCCGATGCACGACTGCGTCAACCGCCGGTTTGCCAAGACCATCAGCCGCAAGGAGATTGAAGACAAGGAGGCCGAGGTGGAGAGACTGCTCGCGGAGGATAGTAAGGCTAGCTCCACGAAGTGGGAATGGGTAGATGACCGCCACGACGAAGACGTGGAAATGGGCGCCGACGAGGACGCCGAGGGCGAAGTGGACGACTCGATGGGCTACTTTGGCAGTACGCAGAACGACGAGATCTTTGGCGACGACAACGACCTCGAGGCTGATTTGGAAGCTGCCTTTGCGGATGACTTGGTGGCCGAGACGCCCGGCACGGCAATGGACATGACTACGCCCATGACCACGCAGGTCGAGACGCCGGCGCCTGTTATCCAAGAAAGCATCGAGAATGACGAGTCAGAGGAGGACGAGGACGACGATGATGATGATGACGACGACGACGACGATCTGGATGAGGATCAGCGTGCTCAGAGAGACGAGGAGCAGGGCGTCAAGGATATCATTCATGACTTGGAGAAGCAGTTGGCTAGACGGGTGGCGGATCTGGAAAAGACGCAGAACAAGATTCTCCGAATAAGATTGGAGAATCAGATCAAGCAGTTGAAGTCGGAGATTGAGTTGAAGAAGGGCTCCATTGGCATTGACGTTGACGACTAGCCGGATGGGTAGGGGGGAAACCTGAGCCTGACGTGTGTGTAATATTATTTAGCGATGGGGGGAGAGTGCATCACGAGCTGGTATTCACGGACAGCACCGGCGTTGGAAGGTGGGAACATGAAAAAAATCACGGACGTCTGGTCATTCACTGATCATGCACAAGTAATTACTTGGTAACAAGGCAAATATAATAGCACATCACCACCCCCTCTCTGCCTGGCAACTACCCCGAACTCTGACTCAACGATTGAACCGTAGAATCCACCCTCCTAACCAATACGTCCTCCACCGTCCTCGTCACATCCTCCCAGCTGACATCTTGGCAAAACTCCTCGAGCGACTGCGGCTGCGGGCCAGATTCCCGCCGCCGCCGGCGCCTGATGCGCTTGTGAATAGCCCTCTGCAGATACACGGCCATGCGCGGGTCCCGCTTCGACTGCTTCTTGAGATAATTCGCCGTAAACACCGCGTCAGGCAGCGCCGTCGACTTGTGATCGTGGTGCCACCGCCGCGTCGACTTGATCGCCTCCTGGATGCGCGTTTGTATCGGCTTGTGAGAGCACCCTGCCCCGAACACCCCAACCAGTCAGTACACACCGACATCACCGCCGCCGCCGATACGTACCTGCCCGCACCCCCAATTCACAGCGCTCCCGGCAAACCGCGGCGGCACTCTCGCACGCCTCCCTCTGCGCGCAAACGCCCGCCAGCACGGCGTTGGCCTCGGCCAACGTCGGCAGCTGGTCTACCTTGCTGGCCAGCTCCTCCACCAGCTTCCTCACCTCGCCCATGGAGCTCTTCACCTCCACCACCTCCCTTTGGCACTCCCCCAGATGGAGCTCGTCTCTTGCCCTCGCGTCCAGGTGCTGCTCAAAGTTCGCCTTGACGGACAGGACGTCCTGCCAGACCTTCTCCATGCGTTCTTCGTTTTGCTGGCGGAAGGACTCGTTGTGCACCGTCTTGCGAGTTAGGTCTTCGAGCCCGCGGGCCAGGTCGTTGGCCTGCATGACAACCTTGTGGATCTTGAGCTCCATTGTCATGCGGGCGAGTTTTTCGGCTCGGTCCAAGAGCTTTGCGTCGAGGACAGCATTGGACGACGATGAGGTACATGTAGAGTCTACCAGAATCGACTCTGGTGAAGAAAGAACTGTGCTCGATGGTGCAGGTGTTGGTGCTACCGGGGCAGAGAGTCGACGCTTACTTGCCATTATCCTACGGGCGTGCTATGACTAGCCCGACTATTGATAGAATGCTGGATTCCTGTGAGAACCAAGATGTCGACCTACGGGTGTCGAGATCAAAGATTAGTTTCTTCCGCTAAGCCATCTCGCCCTGGTCTCGCTTAATACCTGCAACAGCAGGTGCGGCAGCACTACACCGCGAGCACCTTCCCCCATGGCCAGGCTTCACGCATTAACAGAGTCACAGGGCCACAGAATCGACTCCGCGAAATGAGTTCAGTAGCAAGAGCATGAAGTTACATTATTCGCTTCGGGATATCAATAATAACAATACATGCTATGTCAGTACGGGTGGAAAGTAAACACTGCAGTGCTGTGCGTCATGATTCGTCATTCTCCCTCTGGTTTCTCGTCTGTCACAGTTGGTCTTGGGGGGGCGTTATTCGTGTCCTGAGCAGAGTCGACCTGCGAAGTAGTTCCAGCGTCAGCTCCCGAAGCATTGACCGGGGTCGGTATAGCATCATCTGTCGCCGGAACCCTCTTTCTCTCCTCTGCGATCCAACCCAAAAACATATCGACATCTTTGGCAATCTGGGCTGGCACGGCTCTCTTCTGAATCCATCGAGGCAACAAACCTCTCGCATCTGAAACAGTGCCCATAATCCATTCAACGCCACCGTCGGTTTGACGAAACCTCTCCACGCTGGTATAGGCGCCCAGAACAGCGCCATTCCGGGGTGTCGCATCATGATCTTTGACGGCAATCTGAACGACCATAAACTCCTGCTTGTTATGCGTCATGGCCGTCACCTGTAGAACAGGGAAGACGCGCTTGCTCAGCGGGAAAGGAAGCTTATGGACAGATTCCTCCCATTTCATGGTCCAATCAACCCAAGTCCGCCCGGCAAGCTGAATTTTGATGTCTTTGCATTTCCACTTCTTCATCAGACACGTGTTCAAGACCGTGGGGGTAAAGTCCTTCTCTGCCTTGGCGTGGTTGTCCTTGAAGCAGCGAACCCATTCGCTCCAGTTGGCTGTTCCCTTTGCTGCGGTATTCTGGTGGACGCTGCGCCGCAGAGCCCATACTTCTGGTTGCAGGTCTCTCTCGTCTGTGTCATTGATCTTGTGCTCTTCGCAAACGCGAACGAGTTCTGGTGTCGACACGACTCGTTGGTACAAGTGTACCGGGGCATTCGAATTGGGGAATCTCTTGACACCGATTGGGTGCCATGGCGATGTCTTGGTCTTGGACTCCAAATGGACCTTGCTGATAAAATACACCGCCTCCGTCCACGTGGCCGTGAGCAGTGGAAGGAGATCGCTCGGAGGCGAGGCTGAAGATGGCAACTGCGACGGTTCAACCCCCCAGAGGCGGATCAGACGGCTATGATCTGCCTTAATATCGCCGTCTGAGTCTGCGGATAGCTTTGGCAGTCGGAATTCCATTGCGGTAAATGTCTGTGTTGTAGTACTGTCTGTCAATGGTTCTGGGCTGACTCTCACTCTGTGGCACACTTGCGAGCTAAGAGGCTGATTAACGAAGTGCGAGCGCAATGTTGATCAAAGGAAGAAGCTCGCGTGCAATCGGCCCTCGACTTGTTTAGAAAAAAAACAAAGCTTCGCTTGCCAGGATCGTCCCTGGCGAGCATGTAACCTCATGTTGGAGAAGGTACTGAAAAAAACACAGCTAAAGGGAGGTGCGTGTTTGAAAACTATCGCGCGCAGCCACCTCATGTTTCCAGATGCCGTTGCACCCGGTCCGTGCAGGTGGTAGGTCCTTCGGCCGCCCAGTGGGGCCGCCCGACATCTGGACTGGAGGAAAGGAGCATCGTCCAAGGCTGACCCAACGATACCTCGTCACATTCACGACATGGATCGTTCACACTGCTTATTATATTGCAGTCCTTCAAATTGATTTATGATTTATGATTTATATTAAATATTAGTACCGTTTTTTTTTTCATGCAGCCACGCGGGCCCATCCACGTAAATTCGTCCATCTGATGACTTCAATAACTCCAGCGAGTAGCCTTGTATATACAAATACCCACGCAAAGAAAAAGAAAGAAAGTCGCTACCCGTCATTTTATCCCATGCGTTTTTTTGTTGCATTTACCGCTCACACATCTAATCTCGCCGTTCCCAGCGAATCTTTGCGGGTTCCAAGGGTCTTGAAAAGAGGGACGCGTAGTCGGTGCCAATAATGGTATTGCTGCCGTCGACATTGCTCAGCTTGAACAGACGGACCGTCTCGGCGACAATGGTTTGAAGCTGTACGTTGGCAAAGTGTTCGCCAATACATCGGTGGCGACCCGCACCAAACGGAAGGTACGGCGAGGCGGCACCTTTGCTGACCAAGCCGTATCCATAGTCGACCTTCTCTTCCTCCTCAGCGACATTGCGGACAATAGTAGGAGCGTTGGGGGAGTCAGTATCCCAGCGATGGGGGTCCCAGGATTCGGGGCTGGGGAAGTACGTAGGGTCGCTGGCACTGACACCGGGAGCGGCGAGAAGAGTGTGAGTGGTGGGAATAACATATTTGGTACCAGGCACAGGCATGGGCTGCTTGACGGCACGCATGATGGAGTGAATGGGAGCGTGCAGACGGAGGGTTTCCTTGATGATGGCCTGATTGAGAGGCAGCTTGGACAGGTCTTCGTAGGCCAAAGGTGGCAGATCAGCACCAAGAGCCTTGATCTGTTCTTGATAGAGCTCCTCGACGAGGTGCGGGTTCTGAGCAAGGCGGAGCATGATCCATGAGCTGGTAGATGACGACGAGTGCTGGCCGGCCATGAGCAGAGCAATCATCATGTGGGCAACCTCGTGGTCAGGGACAGGGGTTCCATTCTTGTAGGTCGAGTTCATAAGGTGCTTCATGATGTCTAGCTCCTTGTCGTCATCGCCCTTGGCGCGGCGTTCCTTGATGGTATCCATGTAGATCTTGGCCACAGTACGTTGAGCGTGGTCACGCTTACGGTTCCAGGGAAGGGGGGCCCAGTGCAGCATGAAGTTGATGGGTGTGAAGCCCATATCCAAATCGTGGTAGAGGGCAGCCAGAGACTCATCAAACTTGCCGCGGATGGCACTGCCCTGCAGAGCGTGGGAGGCAGTAAAAATTGTGATCTCGGCCATCTTCTTGGGAATATCAACGATGCCGGACTTGCCCTTGAACCCGGGGTCGCGTTTGAAATAGGACTGCACTTCGCCAGCAATAATAGGAACGTAGGATCGGAAAGCTTCGGTCGTCAGAGCAATCTTCATGAACTGTACCACCAGTTAGTTCTTGCTGCCTGCATCGCGGCCAAAAGGGGAAAAGAGGCGTTGGTTGCCATTACCTTTTTCTGCTCCATCAGCTTCGCGTTGGGACAGTCATAGACGACGTCCCGACCAAAGACAGGAGTGGTCAACACAGTGTAAATCTCCTCAGCATTGACGTCCTTGAGCTTGCCGTTGAGAATGAAATCGTTTCCGGCGGGGCCAACGGCAACGGTGGTTTTCTTGCCAAGGAGAACAAAGGTGAAGACATCACCAAACTGTAGCGCCGGTCAGATACGAATTTTGGCGGCATGAACAGCTCGCACAGAGGGCATAGAGCTCAAGACATACCTTGGCACGGTTTTCCTTGAAAAACTTGGGAGGATCCATTCCGTACGTTACAGTGCTGCCAATAAAGGGGAACCAGTGGAAGACCAACGGAGGCTCATTGGGGTTCTTAAAAAGGATCTGGCTGGCAACGTTCAAAGCAACCGCAAGTGCGATAAAACCACCCAGAGCGACGGCAATCTGCGGTCCCAGGCCCAGAGTCTGGAACTGCTGCGAGAGCGGGTGGCTCGCTACCTGTTGAAGGACACCCATTGTGATTGCAGATGTTGATCGATGCGTCGGCAAATGCTTGGCTCGCGCAATCGGATATGGAACGGTAATCAAAACGTGAATGTTCCCAGAGGATGAGGACAACCGGCTCTTCGTTCCGTGTAGCCAAATGAATGAGGCAAGAAACGAACAAAACTCGACGACGTAGAACCAAGTGATTAAGAAAGAGCTGACGAGTGGCGTCGAGATGCGCCCGATAAAAGTAATTTGGAGTTGGATGATCCTTTCGTTGGTCAGGGGGACCCACCCACAAGATGCCACTGCGCTGCGTATGTGGAGTCTCTGCCGATGAAAGTCAGGGACCGTCCAATCAGAGCGCCTGATTACCATGGCCAAGGGTGTCTCGTATTCGGGTTTTGCAGGAAGTGGTGTGTCAATCCGGGAGGAACCACTGGATTCAATGTTGCCCGTGGCATATTTCAAAGAGCTCAAGCTCAAGTCCCTGGACCTCAGACCTCACCTTCGCGATAGCCTATGGAGTATCGGATGACACCCGACATCGTAATTGTTCTGGATGAATTCCATGGCGCTCTGCATCTGGGCCCGCCCAAATGTGAGATCGTACGACCCAGCCACTGGGGAAATGCGAATAAGAACCCGAAGCCACTTTATGCTAGCTCAGACGAGGCAGCAGACTGCACAGTCAGTAGAATCGTTTGGGTCAAAGGGGTACCAGGCGGCGAGTACGGAGTGCGTACGGTATTCTGAAGCAGTCTTTGAACCACACAACTAAGGAGCTTCAAAGTTCAGGCCATGCGACAATGCGCTGGTTGAAACCAATTGTTTCTGTTCAGTTCCTGCGCCGCCATATTTCCGACTAGACATTTAGATCAGCCTTACAGAACCAGTACTTCACCTGTCAGAGTTACTTGCAGAGATGAGACCACAAATGACCACACTCTTAACACCATACTTCTCCCGCAGCGAAGACGCAAACCGCCGTGTTTCCATCGCGGAGACACATCCCGGCAACTTGGCAACGACGAATTCCTTAGCAGAGGAGCCTTCGGTGGCGGGAGCCAGTTGAGCAATAAGTTCAAGCCTCTCCGGGACTGATACCACCAGGGGCTTATAGGTAGACTACCAGCGTTCCGCGTTTTGCTGGTCTCGGCGGGTTAGGCGTTCATGTTGATCACACAATGAACGGCCGTAGCCGAGCTCTCACGCGCTGTTTTGAGTAGAGCGTTTGCCGTGTTGACAACCCTATTCTTCTCCTCGACAGGGTGAATCATGTCAACAATGATGTTGTCGTAGTCAAGCAGGAGGAGGGCCTTCTTGGCTGAGGGCTAGGTTGCTGCGGTGTTTGGGGGGAATGCCTTTTTTTGTGAAAACAAGGTGTTTACCAGATTCAAGTCGAACAAGATCAGAGTGTCTTGTGAAGGTACAATGGGCATTCTGTGTGAAGATATGACCTTTATATCACAGTGCTCTGAGACTCGCGTCCGCCTACATTCAACCAGACACTTATATACACACACAGGACTGAGGAGACACGCAATGCATAACTAAGTCTTTGGAGATGAGAAAACTCGAGTTGTAAACGCAAAAACTAACGCTCTCATAAAAGAGAACCATCAATTTACGTTTGGAGGATATAAGTGTGCTCCGTATTGGTCGCCGGTCGAACCGTTGCGGGTGATGTTTTTGAAGCCTGTCGGTGCCGGCGTCGGCAGCCCAAGGTACAGGATCAGCCTTTGATGTTTCGGGAACAAGACTGGGAAGGAGGCAATTTCCGACTATATTTCACTGAAAACGTGTGAGCATATGTCTTCCTTGAGACCATTGCTCGCCGACATTGTTTCAATAGCTGCCGAAGAAACAATATGCTGTGTGGTGTGGGCCGCCGCGAGGAGTCGTCAATTCGGCTCTGTTGACATGGCCCCCTACTGTCTTGGCATTCTTTATCTATGGTGTTCAGGACCAACGGATATCTTGCTAAGTAGCCGTGTTTTCTATACTGTCTGGATGGAGTAATGAGACGCGAGCAATGTTTGGACGTGTACCAAATGTATTTCACACCACCACCCGGAGCGATCTCGGCACCGAGTCTCGGCGCGGGAAATATGGGTCCATTCGGAGGGTGACGTTAGACACTCCGGCAAGCCTCCCGACCGACCCCAATACGGAGTAGTGCGATCCCATTTTCTCCTTTCGATCTTACCTACTGCCAAATTTCGGACTTTGGACGTGAAATCTCCGTACTGCAGCTCACAAGTTTTAGTTCCATTTCCTTTTTTGGTCCCGTATAGTCGTCCCGTTCCTGTATTTTCATGTATTACCGGGTTCAGGAATACGGGGGCTTCCTTCTCAACTACATCACACTCGAGCGCAGTAAATGAGACGCGCCACTTACCATCAAAAGCTTTCGCCTTTAAGTTTCAGGGACGTAAAAATAAAACAAAATGTCCAAGACGCCCCGAGACGAAGAATGTCCCGGGACAAGTGACAGCCAAACGAAGGAGATGGCTGGACACGCCACCACACAGCCTCTATACAACGACAAGAACAACAATAATGCCCGAGCAGACAGCACTCAATGCGAAGCTGTCACGGAGAATCAGGTCCTCGAACCACATCAGTCAAACGAGCGCCCCATCCACTCCGTACTCCGTCCCCAGGATCAAAGTCTTCGTCATCCTCATGACAGTCTTCAGCACCACCTTCTCGCCCTTCTCATCCTTCATCTACCTGCCAGCCATGAACCCCATCACCGAGTCATATCGCCGCTCCCTAGGCGAGATCAACCTCACCGTACCGTCTACCAAATCATGCCGGCCTTTGCACCACTGTTCTTTGGCTATCTCCGCGACCAGATCGGCCGACGGCCCGTCTATGCGCTCACGTTTGCCATCTACCTGGGTGCAAACGTCGGGCTGTCCATGCAGCACAACTACGCGGTGCCAATGGCCCTGCGGGATTTGCAAAGCACAGGGTGAAGCTCGGCAGTGGCAATTGGCAGCGCCGTGGTTGCCGACCTGACTCCGCGCCCGGCGCGACCATCCTTGAGCTCAAGAAATTGCCTCTCGGGATTCCCGTCCCCGGCGTCGTTGCCGCCATCCCCATCATCTTCGAAAAGGACGTGGGCCGCCACATGCTCCTCATGTCTCTCTCTGTCATGGCTAACTACGCCATGCTGGTACCTCTTCAAGACGTTATTCGCCGCCGATACAGCTTCAACAATGTCCAGGTCGAGCTGTACTACATTCTCTTTGCGATGGGATCCGTATTTGGTGCCGTCACGGTAGGCAGGCTGCTCCAACTGGAACTACGCCCGGGTAGCAAACGACATAGGCATGTCCGCCGAACGCAAAAGGGGCGACGAGTTGAGACGGTTTCCCATTGAGAGAGTGAGGCTGGATCACATGTGATCGTGGATGATGCTTGCCTTCGTCGCGACAGCTATATGGGGCTGGGTTGTCGACTCGGGTGTCAACCTAGCCGCACCGCTGGTTATTTTGCTCCTCGCGGGCATGAGCCTCCCTGGGCCCATCTCAATCCTCACCATCTTGTTGGTGGACTTGTACCCGATGAACGCCGGGCGAGTTTCGTCTTCATTCAACCCGACGAGGGCGGGTATTTGTTGTCAGGAGATGGGGCCCGAGGTAGAGGGAGGAGAGGTATCAACGGTTCGGCAACGTCAACGTCTAGGCCTGGCTGTTTTCATAGATTAGCTCTTTGTGCTCTGTAGTCTGTAAACACATATACCCACTTCATACGAGCAACGTTGGCACTCTTATATTAGAGGCCAACCAAACCCTGTCCATGCTTCTCAGCGCCTCTCGTTGACAACATCTGCCAAGTCGAGCCTCGCCATGAGACCATCCACATTCGTTATCTCAAAGACACCCTCGTGGGGGGTCTTTTTTTTCTTCAAAAGGCAGAGAGAATGGCTCTACACAAGGGTGTATAGACCAAATTTCTTTTAGAATAATAGTACGTGATTCGCCACTAGCATTGAGCCAAAGGCAATAAAAATAACTCTTCTCCATACTGCAGCCAATGTAATATGCGTGGAAAACTCATCTTATTTGACTGTAGGTATAGGTAAGAAACACACTCCTCTCAGAGGCAACGTGATTGCTCAGTAGTCAGAGTAGAAATAGGCCAAGGTCTGCCTAGACTTGACTTCATGCACCGAGGGTCCGAGACCAGTCATCATCACGGCTTCATTACCTACTGCGCCCCCGTCATCTTCCAACGGCTTGCCTCTGCTCTTGTCCAACTTTTTGTTTGCGGTTGGTCTTTCGGCGATTCAATAATTGGTAGAAAGGGCCCTGTAAAGGTGTCCCGAGCTACATGTTCTAGTCGGCTGGCTCCCAAGTGTCCTTGTATAATTTGTATACACTTTCTATAGTGCACGTACAAAATAAAATAGAGAGTGTCTATTTTGGTTGGATTGGGTTCAGAAGCTGGCTTGTGCGTGGTGTTTCTCATCATGTGATGGCTTGTGTAGGAACACGACATCGTTTCGTAGGACCAGGTAGCATTCCTAAGAGATCTGCGTCAAATGGTCACCTCCTCGACATCTGATGTGGACTAGCATCAGTCTAGAATGACGTATGTTTTGGGGATGGGTATGAATTGTAAGTTATTGACCTTGTGGTGGCTAAGGTTTCAGATCATGTACATCAATAATGCAATCAGTCATGGACTGCAACAACCGACTCGTTGAAAAAGTAAATAGATGAATGAATGAATAAATAAATAAACAAATAAACAAATAATAGCAATAACAAGAGCAAAAAAGGCAAGTCTCGCTTCTCAACGTCGCACAAGACGTGATGGATTTCCCGGTGGGTACAAGATAGCGTCAACTGTCTGTCTTGCTTACATATGTACTCCGTACTCCGTACTGGTGCCATCAATCAATCACACGCACCGTCGACCAGACACGAGAACACGGCCATGGCGCATTACGCGCCACGCGGGGCAGCCAGCCGCTGACCTGTTGGACAAGCATCAAGATGGAAGACTGATTGTTGCCTGCGGATGGAGGCGCATGGCCTCTTTCTTATTGCTTATTCTGGGCAGAACCCCGCCCTGGAGGTCATGACGCCATGGTCGCACGACAGACAGACGAGTGACAGATGATGGACAAGGGCAAGCGTCAACGGTCTGGTTTTGCAAGTGCCGGCACGGATTTGAGGCTGCTCACCGCTGTTGAGTTTGGCCAGGGTTGTGGCCCGCTGATGACATCTGGAGCTGTTGTTCGCCTTGGCCGCACTGTACAGAGTATCTGGCCAAGCCCGCCGCCGCTGCATCGCTGTAGTGCCGGCGCGTCGGTGGTGGTGTTAGCACCGGTGCCAGTGGTTTCTGTCGCACCAGCCTCGTGATACGGTGCGGAAATACAGTGCAGACGGTGTACATGGGTATTGGGACATGCAAGTACCAAGACCTGGTACGCACATGCAGCAGTGACCATCAGATCCCGAGTCAATGTCCATGAGGGGCTTCTCTAGGCACTTGTATCCATCTGTATCCATCTGCCATGCCACTTGCGCACTTGTGCTGTGCATCTGGGCTTCAAGTCCGGTCAAATAACTCGCAGCGAGAGAACAGGGAGACGAGAGCGGAGCTGCCCAACCTCAACAACAACCAGACACCACCCGCTCAACTGCTCAACCACTAAGCACCAAAAGCGGGATCGAACCATAGGTCTACCTGGTGTGTACCAGCGCGCCAAGTACCGGTCGAGCAGTGGCGCGCACTTATGCACGCGCGGCCAGATGTCGGAAATACCACTTTGCAAGTACCGCAAGTACCGCAAGTCCCTTGAACCTTCCCTCGATTAATGCTTGGCTGTCAACTTCCTCCCGACTTCGCACCACCATAAACGTCTCCTATCTTATCGCCCTCTTCGATTTCCCCCTCTAGAGCTCATCTGCCTTTTCCGCCGGCCTTCATTCCAACTCTTCCAAAATAACCACCGTCTTCACAGCTTCTTTGTCCTTTGCGGACGAGACGTGCATTCATAGGACAGTGACACCCACGTCTCACCAGTGACCGCCGGGCGGGGCTCGCCGACCGCTGAACGGTGGCTGTTCGTCTTCTTTGATCGCATCACCAAGTGTTGCCCTCGCCATCGAGCATAAATTTCTGGTCTTTTCGAATCACACTTACTTCGCATACAATAACAAATAAAGCCCAACTTTGCCATCATGGATGGAAACACTACCCAGTCTAACAAGGGACCGCCGGGCACCGTGTCGCAGCCAGGCCCTTCCAGATCCAGTCCCGGCTTACCGCATCCGCGTCGATTTGAAGGTATAGTCTCACCATCAACCTGCCCGTCGTCGTTTCATCTAACAGCCGCAGAATCTTGGGTTGAAGTTGCCTCCCAGCCGTCATCTTCGTCCTTGTCTAGCATCGGAGATGAAATCGTCACCACCGGCCTGCGGGTCCGAGGTCCGTACAACCGCCGCCGTCGCTTACAGACCTCCGCTCGATCGGTGCCTCACCAGCAAACGGCCATACACGCTGCAGGCGCGAGCAGCCAAGAGGAATATGACGAGAGCGAAAGCGAAGATGATCGCCTGTTGACGAGTTCAACTGAAAATGTCCACCCTGCAGCGTCTGGGAATGCGGGTGAGGCCTCGGATGCCGACTCGGATTCGGACGGCGATGATGCGACTGCCCTTGGCCGTGTTTCTGATAGACCCGTGTTTCGCCCACAGCCAAATGCATTCTCGCACCCTCCCGCCGGTGCTCCTCAAAGAAGTCAATCTGCTGCGTCGAGCATGCCGCCTCATCCGCATAGCGGATTTACTCGGCCGTCCTTCTCCCATCGGTCGCAGACCCGCGTCCACCGCGACGGGCCATCATTCATGTCGCCCTCGGTTCGCGAAGACAACGACGAAGATTTACGGGCATCCCTTACAACGTTGTTGTCTTGCGCGAATGCCGCGCGCGGTCTACCAAAGTCAAAGGAAGAGGCCGAAACTTGGCGGGCCTCACGTAATGGCGTGCGCGTCGGCCCGAGCGACCAACCCATGGAACTTCGACTTGTGCCTGAATCTGAATTGGCGCAAGAACCTTCCCAGCCACGACCAGTCACTGCAGTGTCTCCGCGAACGCGAAGGTCGCCTGCAAGATCACCGACAGGGACAACCGGACAAGCCGACAAATCAAAGAGATCTGGCTCTGCGGGGCGGAGCCCCAGGGCAAGTAAGAAGAAGAAAGTTGTAGTTGGCTCCGACGAGGCGACCCTTATCTCGCCCACCCTTTTGACATGGGTGGTCAGCGCTGGTGTCGTTGTTCTCGTCTCCGTGGTTGGGTTCGGAGCTGGCTATGTTATTGGACGTGAGGTTGGCCGTCAAGAAGCACAGGACGCCTTATCTGCCAGTATGAGTGTTGCCAACGAAACGTCTCATACTGGACGCGAAGTGATGCGAAGCTCTGGTGGTCTCAGACGACTGAGATGGGGAGCTGGAGCCGTTAGCAAGAGCATCGTGGCCCAGGCCTAATAAGTATAGCTGACCCGAAAAAACGGGGCGTGGTCATACCTATACACATATATATACATATGTATGTCCCCGGAGCACGGCCAGTTTCATACCGTTCCCTTAAAACAGCGAAGACTACAACGATGTGTCTGTCAAGGATCGAGATCAGTGGGCAATTCGTACTGATCGATACATTTATCACCACTAAAGGCCCCCTGGCAAAGCACTATCGACAATCCGATGACAGGGTAATTCCTAGGCGCTTCCAGAGCCTGGTGGAGGGAGAGAGATCGTTGCAGCCCTCGCTGCTGGAAGGAAATACACAGTATCCGGTCGACATCTACTTCGTACTCTGGGATTGCATTTATCAAGGAATCGGCATCAAAGTTACTAGGATTTAATGATTTGGTTACGAAGACATGGGAAATCGAGCCGTTACTGTGGATGAAATCAAGTCTGGCTTAACGATTTAGCGAAATGATTGAATTACGACTGCATGTTGACGTAGGGAGGTCTGCCGATGAAATTCCAAGGCCCTCCAAGATCGGAATAATTTGCCTAGGTAGTTGAACAAGCATTGGCCTCATACTCATTCACTTGGTTCCGCGTGAGTCAACCTGGTCAGGTTTCCCAGTGGCAAATTACAAAACGTAGACCTAAATCCACCACACCTCGTCGCTCTATGATGCAACGGCTCACTTCACACACAAGTGTGCACAGTAGTAATAAACGAAAATGTATTACTTTTCCTAGGCCTAACGCCAAAGATCTATGAAATGATTCGGGCCACTCAATGTAGATTACTCACCTCAAGAGAATTACAGCAAAGGGGGGACAATAAAGGAAACAAATTTCATACGACAGCTTCCAGGGTGGTATTGGCATGGATGTTGCGACATCACGTCAACTCACAAGCTTCAAGTTTGCAATTGCAGGAGCCCCCAGGTCCCTCAGAAGTCTTTCGTGCGAACCCAAAAGGGATCAGTTCGTCTCATTGCTGGATAGCAAGCGACGATACCGTCCCCCTGAATAAGCCCGTCAAAGTCCCTCAGAATCCCATTGGTATGGATGCATGTCGTAAAAACGACGCAAGTTCTCGAATTGCCCGCCATCAAAAAGCCAAAGTAATGCCACCTAGCGCACAGATGTTTTCTTCACAAAGCGAAGGAAATATTGTGACAGCCACGAGCCCACGAAACAAGTGTACATGCCCACAGGTCTACTGCCGCTTCGATTGCACGAAACGACCCCTCAAAGCCCACAGGCTAGTCTCAAGAACGTAGCCGCCAAGTTGTGTCGAATACGACAGCCCACTTATCCGAAAACCCACTGATAGCCCTCAGGTACATATTTGCTTTCTCTAGTCAAAGGTCATCTTGGTGCCGGAGAAGCTGGAAGGAGCAGTTCGGTTGGCACCGGAGCCGAAACCACCACGACCGCCTCCACGGCCACGGCCACGGCCACGATCACCGCCGCGACCTCCGCGGCCTCCGCGTCCTCCACGTCCACCGCGACCACCACCGAAGCCACCACCACTCTGCTGAGGACGGCTGCTGGCAAAGTCAAGACGCACGCTGCGAGACATTCTGCCGTTGCCCAGAGAAGCACCATTCAACTGCTGGAAGACAGTCTTGGCGTCCTCGACCGAGTTGAAGGAAACATAACCAAAGCCCTTTAGGTTTCCAGAGTCACTTTTACAAGAACAGTTAGTTTCAGATTGACATCAATGCAACCAAGTTAAGATATGACTCACGGGTCGGTAGGCAAGCGAACACTGGTGACCTCGGCGACCTCGGCGAAGAACTGACGGACAGTCTCCTGGTCGGTGTCGAAGGGCAAGTTGCCAATGAAGAGAGTCTCGCTTTCAGGGCTGACAGAGTCGCCGTGTTTCTTGGCACGGTCCGTAGCACGGTCACGGGGGTTAGACTCGGCAGGCCGGGTGTTGGCGTAATCGAGGTTAAGCGGACGGCCGTCCAGCTCAGAGCCCTGCATAGCTTCGTAAGCCTTGGTGGCGGCCTCAGGTGTCTCAAAGTCGACGTATCCGAAGCCACGGCTACGGCCGCCGTCTCTGTCAGTGACAACACGAGCACCGACTAAGCCCTCGAACTCCTTGAAGGCCTCGGTCAAGGCGTTGTCGTCAATGTTCCAGCTCAGATTGCCGGCAAACAAAGTGGGAGCGCCATCAGTCTTAGCTTTCTTTGGGGTGGCGTCGATTTCCTCATCAGCCTTGCGCTTCTTAGAGGTAGAGGCATCCTCAGTTTTGGTCTTAGACTCGCCAGACTCTTCAGAGTCGTCTTCGCTGTCATCGCTATCGTCTGAATCTTCTTCCGAATCAGAAGAGTCGGCAGCCTTCTACAAGCGGGTTAGTTCAATATCGTGTAAAACGAAGTAGTAGAAACTACCAACCTTGGCAGTGGCCTTGTCATCGCTCTCCTCCTCAGAGTCGGAAGAGTCAGAGGAATCTGACGAGTCGCCAGCTTCAGCCTTGGCCTTACCATTAACCTTAGGCTTGGCGGCCTCATCAGTGGATTCGCTGTCAGAGTCGGAATCAGAATCCGACTCAGACGCAGCGGCCTTGGCCTTGGCCTTGCCGTTGGTGGCAGGCTTCTTGGTCTCCTCCTTGGACTCGCTGTCAGAATCAGACTCGGACTCAGAATCAGCTTCAGACTCGGACTCGGACTCAGAATCGGCCTTCTTAGTCTTCGCCTTGGCCTTGTCATTGACGGCAGGCTTCTTTTCAGCCTCGGATTCAGAGTCGGGGCTATCAGAGGCAGAGTCGCTTTCACTCTCAGAGTCAGATGACTCAGAAGACTCAGGTTCGACGACCTTCTTGTTCTTCTTCTTTTTCTCAGGGGCGTCCTTCTCCTTGACTACCTTCTTAGCGGCAGTCTTGGCAATATCCTTGGACTTGGACTTGGTGGACTGGGAAGCCTTCGTAACACCAGCATTTTTAACAGTGGCTAGAGCGGCGTCAGCCTTCTTGCTCTCCTTGGTCTTTGACTTGGCCATCGTATATGTTCTTTTAAAAGAATGAGTAGAACAAAAAAGTAGTAGTAAGTAGAGTGAAAATGGGAACCGGATTGCAAAATTGATGCAAAGGCCCAGGAAATGCGTGATGGAGAGAGAATGAAAAAAATGGAGGGTGGGCAGGCCCAGCTATGGTTTTCTACTTTTTTTCCCTTCCCGCTGGAGGCTGGGCCGCGCAGCGCGGTGTAGATTTTTTTTTTTTCCTGCCTTTTCGCCAGCCAAATTGTGGGTCAAAACCAAAGGCGGTGAAAAGTCGACGGTACGTACCTAGATACCCTGTAGATGCTTGTTGCCTTAAGATTTAGGCGTGCATTCATTACGGCCGAATCGAACTCTCTTCTTGGTAATACCTACCGTCTGTTTCGTGAGCTGCAGATTGCAATTTCTTGCCGCCGTCGAAGAACGTTTCCCTTATCGACGGCCTCTACCACGTCAAAAGGAGACCCAGGTGTATCTGTCAGTATGCCGACACCAGAATCCGAGCTCTTTAAGAGCCAGAAACCCAATGTTGCGCCGACCTTCAACGGCGTCGACTACGACGACACCAAGGCCTTCAAGGCCGCCGAAGATGCCATTATCAGAGAACAATGGGTCGGCGCCATGAAGACCCGGCTTGTTGGAGAAGAACTGGGCAAGTGCTACATGCGCGAGGGTGTTAACCACTTAGAGAACTGCGGCGAGTTGCGAGGTAAGTGGGCTGGGGTGTTCGGAACCAGGAGAGTATACGCTGACCACATGGGCGCGCAGAGAAATACCTGCGGATGCTTGCTACGAACAAGGTCAAGGGAACCAAATTCTTGCAACAAAATTACCTCGAACAAAAAGACCAGGAGCTCGATATTGCTGCAAAAACCCACATTGCTGACAAGATGGCCAAGATTAACGGCGGCGCTCGATTTTCTTCTTAGGAGAAGCCTCAGAAATGGCACACTGGGTGCTGGGGATTGTAAAAGAGGAGCTTCAAATGGACAAACAAACAAACAGAGATGTACAAGTGGTAGTCCAATCTAAGTAAGGAGAAGGGCCCCGAGGGCATTGACCAGAAGCAGCACTTGGATCCTGTACGAGTGTGCGTGTATGTATATATCTATATATCGGGAATTAATGGAACTCCATTAGACATTGTCATTATTTTACAAACTTACACTTTCTGTTGAAGGGGCAGCAAGTCTGCTGTCGCCGTGCTGTAACTGCATGTGGTCATGCGCAAAAGTGACGAGGCTGCGTGCCTGTTGCGCTGGCCACACCCCCATTGGCCCAACCTGCACGTACCTGGCCGTGCTAAATTTTGGCTCCCACCACCGAAACCTCCAAGCCTTGTCTCCATCACACCTATAACTGCCAACCGTCAAAGAGAAAAAAAAACCAGCACCATGCTCTGCACAAGGTGCATTCGCGCAGCCGCCGCAAGGCAAAGGCTACCGCTACTACGGCAATTTTCCGCATCGGCGCAATCACGCGCTGCTGAGCCCAAGCTGTCAACACCTGTAACCGACGCAGGTGCCCTCGCGAAGGAATCGTCGATACCACGATCAATTTGCACCGAGGGCACAATCCTAGCCGGATTGAACTACAACAAGGGCGGCCAGGACCCCGTCGCCAAGAAAGATGAGGAATACCCCGGGTGGCTGTGGTCGTGTCTTGACGTGATGAAGAATGGCGCGGACGCAGCTGACGAAAATGCCGGAGACGAATTCTGTATGTTGGCCCAGAACTGGCCTCGCACTAGCTTCCGAGGTCCCTTTCGAATTCGTCGAAATAAAGCTAACATTTGTTCGAATAGCCAAATCCAAGAAACAGCGAAAGTTGGCGGCCAAGCGCCAGAAGGCCCTCGAGGCCAAGCTTCTTGCCGAAGGAAACCTCGCTGCTTTGACCCCAAAGATTCCCATTCAGCACCAGTCGATTAATCTGCCGGGCGAAGAAGGCGGCAGTGTTTCTGATAATATTGCGGCTGCTGAGAAGAGAGAAGAGCTCAGGAGGGCTATGCGAAAGGAGAGAAAGGCCAAGATTAAGGAGGCGAACTACTTGAAGTCCATGTAAACCCTGGCAGGCCTCGTGTACTTTTACAACATGTATGACGGGAGAAGTTAAAATGTACTATATTACGCATAGTGTGACTTGTATAGAAGAAATCTTTTCTACGCATCCAGAAGCTGTTAATCTTTTTCAATATATATAAATACTTTTCTACTTTTCGTTTGATCACTGTGCACTCGGGGACAGCAAATGTCGACCAAAAATGCTGAGCGCGCCCGTGGCTTGAAAAAATATGTGGAAGCACCGTTCATAACATGTCAACTCATCATGGCCCATACTACTTGGATGCTCTCTGGAACCAAGCATGCTAATTGTACACCAAAATGGTTCGTTCATTGATTCCAACTTTCTACTCTCCTATAACGCATTCAAGTCCAATGGCACACTGCTACCTCTGCCCGCCCTATACTTCTTCGGCCCTCCGCGAAAGTCTCTGGGCTTGGGCAACAAGCTCTCATCCTTGAATTGCCACCTTGAATCGTTGACTATGAACCTTCCTCCAATGCTAGGAGAGGGAGAATGCGATGGATTTCGGCTTGGGCTCGGCGAGCCACCGCCATTCGCAGACAGGGTATATGAGCTAGGATCTAGCATAGATTGTATAAGAGAAGGGCCCCGGTTTCTTGACAGCGGCGGCGGCGGTGGTGACTGCGATGTAGGCGGTGACGGAGCTGCATTCGGCGGCGGCGGAGGAGGAGCGGAGCTTGGAGAGTGGGTGGGTATCGGCGCTGAGTTGGCAGGAGGAGGCGGAGGAGGCGGGTGTGGTGCTTGGGTCCTAGGAGCTGGGGATCCCGAGGGTCGAAGAGGAGCCGAAGCTGGAGGAGGAGGAGGAGGTGCTGCTGGACTCGCAGCAGATAATGCTGGAGGGGGAGGGGGCGGAGGAGCAGATGGAGTAGGAGCTGCACTGGCTGGCGGTGGAGGCGGAGGTGGTGTCGGCGCAGGAGCAGCTGGGGGAATAGCTTTTGAAGAAGGCTTTCGAGATGTCGGCAGAGGCGGCGGCTTTTTACCAATCGGTGGTGGAGGAGGTTTTGATCCTCCTAGGGGCGTTATCTTGCGCAAGTGGCCTGCTGCGCTAGGAGGGAGAATGGGAGGACCACGTCCCGGTATAGCAGGCGCTGCACCACTTGGTGGTTTTGGAGCACCAGGAGGTTTAGGCGCTGATCTCGACTCTCCAGGGTCCGAGAGATATGAGGCATCTGAATTCGCCCCCGTGTCTATTCCGCCTCGCTTCTTCAGCTTTGGCATACCAGCAGCAAATAGCCCACCAAGTTGTGGCGCTGCCGACTCCATTCCCGAGCTCGCTGTCTGGCCAGAGCCTTGATCGCTATTGCTTCTCGCCCGGTTTCCCGGAACTGGCGGTGCAAGCCCACCAGGAACTGCTGGCGCTCCTCCAAGCACAGGACCACCACCAGATGATGTCTTCCCAACATCTGGTGCAGATCGATCATTTGTAACAGCCTTCTTTAGGGACCTTCCTTTCTGGATATCTGATAGTAGGGCGTTCTGATAGATAATTAGCTGCAATGAACAGAATCAGGACAGTGAACGACATACTCTATTCCCAGAAGCAGGAGGCCGTCCCGCAGGTGCTCCTCCGGGTGGTGGTGGTGGAGGAGGTGGAGGAGGTGGTGCCGGCATCTTTTATGCTGAATCTGGATATCTATGTATCGCAATGTCGAATTCAAGGCCGGGATGCTGCCGAGAAATGCAGAGGCAGCGCGGGGGGCAGAAGACCGTCCGAGGCTGGCCAGCGTCTATGTGAAGACTCGAGCAGCCTGCTGCTTCAAAGCAGCCGTTTCTGGACCCAAAAGAGTCGCAAGAGAGTTGTGGAAAATCGGGGTCGGTGGAAGCGGTACAGAAAGGTCGCAGAAACGCCTTGGTGTTGAGGTGAGGTTAAATGGCACGGCGTCCTCGCAGCCGTTGTGGGAGCATGCACAAGGTTGACGGTTCAAATGTTTCGTCATCCGTGGTTGGGGAATGCGGTCTTGCCAAGTCCCAGTTGGCAGGCAAGTTTACGCACCTAACCTGGGCTGAGCCACTGTCAGTGCCTGCCCACGGCCCCGCTTCCCGGGCTATTGCTGGCTTGTAGTAGTACTTGGCGAACAAAGGATCCAACAAAGTGCTCTGGAACAATGCGATGAAGCAAGCGAACAAATATGCATCAACCGGTATATTTGAATCTGAGAGTGTCGCAGGTTTGTTTTCTGTCCATGAGAGTTATGTTACCTTCATTCCGCCGAATATCACGCCAGCCGGTTCAAATGTTCCTTCTTGCCAGCTTTCAAGCCAACCGGTGGGGCATCGATGGAAGCACCAATGGAAGGAGAGTCCCTGCCGGATGAATTGAAATTTAATAGATCCAACTCCCAACAGCTTCCAGTCAACGACCATCCCAATCGCAATCCCGACGTGCATTGCCCGCCGATAGGCCATCTCGCCCACGATGAGACGCGCGACGCCTAGACACATCGGCTTTGTTTGCGACTCTTGTGCCTTCACTCAGTCACAAGCGTCCAAACAACCCATTGGCGTGCGATGGTCCGCCCGATGCGCTGGTGTTTCGAGGCAGCTGGGGCGGACGACATCCGCGCCGCGATGGTCATCGACAGCGGCAAGTAATGTCACAGGAGACCACGCCCAGTCTTCATACGTGAGACGGACCCAACCCTCCAAGGCACCGGCGCACATCACCGACCCTGCGGCCCTCGCCCAGGTAGCTGAGGACAGCAAAAAAAAGTTCTTCTCTGTCGATGGCATCCCGGCTGTCCAGTTGACCAATGCCGCTCTCGAATCATGCCTCCGCGCCGCATCCGCCCTCCATCCTCAGCTGAAGCGGGCAGAAGCGCAGTCTAAAGCTTCTGCATCAAAACTGGTTGCTCTGGGCGCCGAGCGAACTGGCGCAAGGATACCAGTCGAAGCCAAGATCCAAGAAGCAGTCAACAGAATATCATACTCAGCATATACCATCATCACACACCCCAACGTCGAGATGACCCCTGAATTTCTCGAGACCTATGTCCAGATCCAATCGCAGCTGGGCCGTCCCGAGTCTCTCCCATCCGTGCTGGAACTCTATGCTTCCAAGCCCAAGCCCGTGGTGAAAGACGGCCAGATTCAATACGTCCAGCCGAACCCCAATGCCGCATCACGAGCTATTGAGGAAGGGGTCGCCGCCACGGCTCTTCAGACAGCCATTGACGCCAAAAACCTAGATGCCTCGCTAGGTATCATCGAAGCAGCATACACCGTCCCAGCATTCAAACGCCAGAAATTAATACGCCACGGCACCGCCCCGGCAATTGGTCTTGTCACCTTACCCTTTGGTATATTCGGCCTGTCGACCGCCTACGCAGCCTACTGGCAAAACACTATGGACATTAGTACCGCCACTGGAATTGGTGTCGCTGGTATCTCGGGTTATTTCTTCGTTGTAGGATCGCTGGGTGTCATTGCCAAACTCAGCAACAAGGACCAAATGAAACGAGTTACATGGGCTCCCGGGACACCACTACGATACAGGTGGCTACGAGAAGATGAACGCGCTGCCCTGGACAAGGTCGCCTGTGCATGGGGTTTCCAAGAGCCCTGGAGACACGGTGAGGAGACGGGGCCAGAGTGGGAGGGATTGAAAGAGTACATGGGCTATAGACAGATGCTTCTCGATCGTGTAGAGTTCATGGAGGGCATGAGCTAAGTATGCTCAGTTGTCGTTTGTGTAAAGTACTACAGATGTGTTATTGTACCATAGATGCCACAAATCATTTGCATTAATCTCATTTCGTATCATCAATGAGCCAACTGCAAATCTACAGTAAAACATCCCTCCTGAACCCTGGGCTTCTTTTATCCTATTCATAGGGGACGACCAAATCTGCAAACAACACGGGACCCAACGGCTCACAGTGGCCACCACAACTCGACCCTGGTCGTGTCGATCCCAGTGAGCCGAACAGAGTAGAAAAAAAAAGTCAACAAACGGGACCTGGTGCCAGATTAGGCAAGTAAATAACTGGCTGGTTGTGTGTTGTAGTAGCTCGCCCGTCTCGAGCACGGCAGATGATCGTCCCGTGCTGCCTATTGGCGAACTTTTGGCGAAGGCGCATTGCTGCGAAAACGAGGGAATTCGTTTATCTTTTGCGCGCAAATATGAGTGCTTTTTAAAACTCGTGAATCCATGATTCTATTTTACTGCTTCCGGGGAAAGCTTGCGACATACTACTTTTGTTTCTCCCTTGCCCATCCAGGGGTATAATGGCTAGGTAGGCAGTAAATCGAGCACAGACCCAACCCATCTCCAACTAGTCGCGCAATTCATTGTATCATCATGGTCAGGAATTGTGTCTAGACTGTATTATAGGGGTTTCGCTCGTACGAGATTTCGTAGTGGGTTGTTTTTCGAATGGCAGCCCCGGCCATTTCGAGCGTAGCTGGCTTGGGGACAGACTGCAAAATAAACTCTTCGCTGCTGCCGTCTTCCAGGCGGTGGCGGGCAATGCTGTGATTTTGGCCTTCGCACTTGGCAGGACCGGAATACGGTTGCCAGTCGTCGTCGCTGTGTGAAGGGGAGAGCTGTTTTGGAGCCGAACCAATGGTGTAGGCTGGGCCGCCGGATCCTTCGCCGCCGCTGGCAGCTGTTGAAAGAGTCGAGAAGGCCTTGGGGAAGATCCAGGCGAGGACAATGCGGCACATAGGTAGACAGGCGCAGATAATGGCAACGTTTTCTTCAATCATTGTCCATAGCGTTGATGTGATGTCATCTTGGGGTGAGTGTTAGTGTATTGGAAGTCTCACGGTGGTGTGCAGAGCAAAGAAACCGACAGGTAGGATCGGGACTCTTGGTCGAGAAGCTGAGGGTAGTTGCTCTCATGATGGAGGTGATTGTGACGCTAGAAATTGTTACGCGTTGGCCACGATGATTTTGTAAATAGTGCGTGTCGATTACTTACAAGCCTCCCAACGCGAAAACCAGCATAAGCGCCCTCTTTTGGTTGACGGGCAGTTTGCTTGTCCAGATAGGCTGCATTGGCAAACACAGGACCAAGACGTCTGTGGCGATGGAGTAGCCGGCATTGGCGTACCAGTTCTTTGTCAAACTGATGCATGTTGGCTTCATGCTCTTGTCCCACGCACCTTTGATCGGACTACATTGCCATATCGACGCGGCAACTGTCCCAATCATGTACGCAACAAAGAGGCCCAGAAGGATATAGCAACAGATTCGGAACCATCGTTGGAGGAAGATGCGTAGATACAGAAGCACAATCGAGGCTTTGGTGAGGTTAATGGTAATCTTGTAAAATATTTGAGCAACGTAAAATAGCTATTGCACAGAGATAGGTTAGCCGACGACTTTCTACACGACCGGGCGTCCAACAACGAAGGTGGGACAGACATGCCTTTAAAGCCATGAGTCTATCGTCGTGAGAAAGGTGATAAATATGCGTTCCGAAACCATGATTCACTGCAAACATCATTATAATCTGAACAGCGAGAGTACAGGCCTCCATAAACGAATTAGCAAAGTCTGACTCGGGCAACATAGATACGAATCCACATGTTTGCCTCACAAATGATATTAGAATGGTATAGTCATCCGATCCTAGACCCGAACCTCTCTTCAAACGACTCCATATTCTGATTATCAGAAACATGGGAGTCAATGCAAAGAATATGATGCAAGGTGCCGTGACCTGGCGTGCATGGCTGTCGTGGCTGTCGTCAGGTCCATCTCCAGACCCCATTTCTGCGGTTGGTGAATTCGACTTGGTCGGATGAAATCCAATAATACCAGACCCTTTGTCGAACTGGACAAAAGGGTCAATATTTTATTCTCAAGCCTTTGAGAACTAGGCGCGGTTGTAGAAGTCCATCAGTGTAGTTGTTGGGTCAAGACTTATTACAACGACTCCAGGACTTGCAGGGTTAAATTTTCTTGCTGATATGATACCCTCAGTTGTCCCAGTGCAAAGCACCCTCTCTTCAAGGTGTAAGTTATAAGCCACGAGACGCACCACTTTGTTATCGCGGGGGGAGAGGGGGGGTCTGTATTGCGGCATCGAGAGAGGAGGGTGGATGCAACGGGGGGCGGTCCCTTTCCTGCTTGTGCGAGTACTCTCGAGTCTTGAGTTGGCTTGGCTATCAACGTTTTGAGTGGGTTTAATAATACGTATGCAACGAACCAACAAAGGGTTGATCCAGCAAATCACCAGCCTTCGCCACGATGCATACTCTTTCCGCTGCGGCATGAGCTGACACGGGCCTGGATCTTCAAACGAATGCCGACTTGACTCTCTCATGATAGTTAAAATGGAAGCTTCTTGTTATATCTAGGGATTTAGATTGTCAGCTTCAACTGACTGCCCTCACAGCGTAATGCTAATGTTTGAAGTAGTCAACCGGTTTGTTTTAGGCACACCACCTGCAACCCCGGTCTATTCTTCCCTGTATATGGCGCATTCTTTACCGTTTTTGCTGTGCAGGCATGTTATCCCCGCTGTTTCATGGATGGCTTCCCCTGGACGAAAGAGTCTAGTTAGTCCCAGAGCAAATGCTTCGCATAATCCGCCTAGTTTAGCCAACGTTGTTATACATACACTAAGGCTAATGCAGTACGTTGTTGCATGAAGGAACTTGGCCGAAGAGAGTTCCGCTACTCCACCCAGCCGTTGGCATCCAACGAAGAAGACATTGAATTGACTCTTACTAACATGATTTCTGTTCCCAGGGGTGTGACTGGCTGACTAGCTGGAGGAAACAAAGCCGACAGGACTCAGAAGCTCCAACTTGATTCTTTTTGGGGATTCCAGATTCATAGACAAATCGGCATAGATATCGATATTATCGCAACAAGTCCAGATGGTGCCTGATCAATTTCCAGCCATGATAGGTGAGGGTATGCATGTATTCCAAGTCTCTTTACATGAACTTTCTGGCGCGCTTCGGCGAACCATCAATTCAATGGTACGTTGACAAGTGAGAAGGACAAGGGCAGAACCATGGGCTAGACACCTTTTCTTTGACCAGTCGTTCCCCATCCCTCGGTCAAGAACTAAGACAAGGATTTCCGTAGCCAAGTCAAAAATCCCCAGCCGAGCGCAAATGGGGCCGCGGGTCTGCAGCCGCCATCCCTGACCCAGTCTGTTCCCCTGATGAAAAGGTGCTTGTTCCCGGTTCACATCCCAGACAGGCAGGCGGCTGGCTCCTCGATCTCGTACCATGACAGTTTAACGTTCCATTGCCTTTTTCCGCGCCGGCGGACAGGTTCATGCCGGGCACGCACGCCTCCAACTACTCTGTACTGTCAGCAATTGCGAAAGGCCTTTCGTCTGCTCATGTTTTTTTTGTTCCTTGAAGGAGTACCCTTCGGGTTCCTCCCGACTAATAAGCAGATAGAAGCTGGGGTCTTTTTATCATCTTGCCTCACGTAACGCCGCATACAGCCTTCTGCTTGCCCCTGCGGAAAAGCCAAGCCACAGTACCAGGTTGCCATCTATGGACCATGTCGTCACTATGGCCACAGCACAGGCCTCAGCAAATCGCCGCGTCGTTCGAATAGCAAATGTTTTGTGTTCAAAACACGGCCCGACTGTTCTCCTTTTTCTCCTGAGGAAGAGGTCATGGACAAGTTATTGAATGTAGACTTGTGTCTGTCGTGCCTTTTATGCCCTCTGACAAAGCACTGTTGTGTTGAACATCGAGGTGAACAGACTCTCAGATGGCCTGGTCAATATGCGAGCTATTTGTCTGTTGGTCCTTCTGTGGTCGCATTTTTCACTTGCTAGTCCAGTGCTCGTGTGGCTACATCGTAATGACAAATGGCAGTAGTACTCATAATAGCCGATGCGGGTTCAGACTGAGACGCCAAGTGCAAAAATATTTTGTGAGTTCAATGCAGACGTACAATATCGGGTACAGTTATCGACTAGCACGATTTCAAAAAGGCAACTGCAGGTACAGAACGTGGACCATGCCTTCCTCCCCTGCAAAACAGATTGACCTGTCACATTAAGAAGCCAACGCCATACCCTTCCATCAATTGATCAATTCATTATTATTTCATCATTCCAGACGCCTACATTCATCAATCCTACCCTACCAGATGTTACTGTTCGACACAACGGCCTCTTCTTGCATGGACCTTGATGAATGATTGTCCCGCCCGTGGACAACGGCCAACTTGCGCCAACCGCTGCACGGGTGGGGAGTCTGGGACGGGGCAACAGAGGACATGCATCCGGAAATTAGAAGCCGACTGCTTTAGCCGTTTATTCCCCTTCCCGACGCACGAATCAACAGAAGATCAGAGAAATTGTACTCTTCCCCTCATCAATATTTGAGCCCCGGGCGCATTAAACGAAACCTTGCTGCTACGTCGGTTGCCAAGGTTCTCAAATATTGTTGGTTTAAGACGGATGGTAATACCCGTCAAGTTGTCAGTAGTTCAACAATAGGCAATATTTGAAGCCCACTTATTGAGAAAAGACTAATGAGAAAGGGCAGTGCAAAAGCGGTAATTTGGGCCCGCGGATTCGGTTCGCAAGTATTTATTTCGGACCTGTGACTGGCTACAACCTCCTAGTACTACTACTACAACTACAACTACTACCAGCAGGTCGAAAGCTGGCAGCGCCGCCACCTCGCTCGTGCCCCAGACAAAAACAACTCTTTGTTGAATTCACAGTTTCATCTATACCTGGCTTGTTAAACTTGACACAAACTTTGCGTCTGTTGGTCAGTCACTGCCACGAGGAGAGAGCAGCGTGGCACATCACATCCACATCCTCGCCTCCGGCTCCTTCGAAGACCTGACTTGTTTACATGTCTTTTGCCCTCCTCTGGGTGAGACGGGCCCTTCTTTTCCTTCCGCACAATAGAGATCCGAGTCAATCGAGCTTCCATCTACCTTGACGGAACACGCCTATTGCTCCAGGTCATATTAACAACATGAAACTTTCGCTTCTGTCAGGACTAGCTACAGTCGGGCTCTTCACTGGCTTGGCAACTGCTCAGGCTAATGGTACAATTGACAATGGTCCATTCCCTGACGAGCTCAATGGCTCCAACTTTACCTACCCGTGGCCGGTCAAGGTGTTCAAGTTCACCAGTCAGCAGCAGGACCTCCAGATGGCCTTTATGGACGTCAAGCCAGCCTGTAGGCCCAATGGCAAGACTGCTGTTCTCTTCCATGGCAAAAACTTCTGCGGCCCGACGTGGCAAGATACCATCCGCGTTCTAGCCGCCAGAGGCTACCGTGTTATTGCTCCAGATCAAATTGGTTTCTGCAAAAGCTCCAAGCCGGATGCGTACCAATTCAGTCTGAATCAATTTGCCTGGAACACACGCGGTCTTCTCAATGCAGCTGGCGTTGGCAATGTCACCGTCATTGGTCACTCCATGGGTGGTATGATGACTGCCCGTTTTGGGCTCCAGTACCCCGAAACCATTGAAAAGATGGTCATGGTTGATCCTGTCGGTCTGGAGGATTACGTTCAAAAGGGTGTTCCCTACATCAGCATCGACCAGTCTATTGTCAGTGAGGCCGCATCCACCTACCAGTCAATCAAGGGCTACGAGCAGGAGGTGTACTACGTCGGACAGTGGAAGCCTGCTTATGATACCTGGGTCAACATGCTTGTCAACATCTACAACGGCCCTAAGCGCAAGGCCTATGTCAAAAACCAGGCTCAAATTGTCGACATGGTTCTCACCTCGCCCATTGCTCACTACTTTGGGGACATTAAGCCACGTACGCTTCTCATTGTTGGAAATAAGGATAAGACTGCGATTGGGGCTCAGTGGTCTCCCCCAGCTGTTGCCGCCAAGCTGGGCCGTTTCGACATTCTCGGTCCCGAGGTTGCCAAACACCTGCAAAACGGAGAATTGTACCAGTTCCCCAACCTGGGCCATGCGCCCCAGCTTTCCGATCCCAGAAACTTCCACAAGGTCTTGTTGGCGTTCTTGAAGAAATAAAGAAGTAGATCAGTTTTGGATAGCATGATGAGGAAGAGCAAATGTTTGTGTCCATATCGGCCCTGTAATACCTACATTAATTCTGCAAAAAGACAGCTTCGTCATTAGTATGCTACGAGAGCAGAGTTAGGAGTGTCCCAGACCTTCAGGCTTTCTACTCGTGTTATTCGCCAAAACTTGGACCAGGCAAGCAGTCAGGCTACTCAGGCACCTCAAATAAGCTTCATGTCCCTCAGCCACATTTCTCCCACTGACCGTGCCCTTCAACCCTCTCGTGAATGTTGGTTCGCCGATTTCGGACGTATATATTCGCAAAACCGTGCAATAGTGAATAAACGACAGGCAAGGTAGTTCATCTGAGCATGAATTGTAGACGAAGCTTGGGATAGAGACGAACGCTGAGTATTGCTTCAGCACTACTTGAGTGCTTCTGCGGGTTCGATCGTTTGATTAAACAAGTCACATTACAGTGACCGACCATATTAAAATTATTGCTTGAGACAGGTATCGGGGTTGGGGTAGGAAATAAAGCCAAGCTGTCTCATGTTGTCTCGCGTCACGGCCGACAAGTCGAAGTTTCCTGCCTTCCAATTACAAGTCCCGCAATGACCGTGTATAGTGGGCTGTACCTCCCGCAACCAGTCAAATGACGTAATGAACGAGGCACCCCAACCCAGCTCAACCTCAACGCTCAACCTTAAACCATAACTTCAACCTCACCGTCACCGTCACCAACAAACCTCATAGTACGCACAACAACTAGGTTTCCCACTCATACCGCAAAGCCCATAACAATGACGACCTACATCCCATCCCTGACGATTCCCTCAGTTGTTCTCCAGCACTCCGCGGCCTCCGTGCTGCTCCCGATAGCTCTAGGAACTGCTGTCGGGTTTGGAACGCGCCGTACGCATCAAGCTTCTCGCTCGTCGCACAACACTAAGCTAACCGGTTATCCAGCGTCAAAAACCCAAAAAACGTACTTGGCCTTGAAGCAGCCGCCTCTGCGACCGCCGCCTTGGGTATTTGGTCCAGTATGGACAGTCCTCTATGGGTGCGTAAATCCATCATCTTCCCCGAGCATCAACATGGACAAGTCGCTATCCTCCCGTCCCATCCCCCCCTGGCAGAGGCCCTGGAAGCCCCGTCATTCGTTCCGTGTAGTCTCCTAGACTAACAAGCCCAGCGTAATGGGCTACGCATCCCACCGCATCGCCACTATCGGCCTCAGATCATCCGCCTCGCCCGCAATCGTGGAAACGGCGCAGAACAGTCTAACTCTCTACACGGTGCAGCTTGGCCTCAATCTAGCCTGGATGCCACTCTTCTTTGTGGCTAAGCGCCCCGCTGAAGCAAGCATCGACATTGTCACACTCGTCGGAATGAATGCGTATTTGGCATATCTTTGGAGCTCGATTGATGAGGTTGCTGCGTGGTGTCAGGTTCCGTATCTAGGCTGGCTGGGCTTTGCAACGTATTTGTGTCTTGGGGCAGGGTATTTGAATGGTTGGGACTTGCATGATAAGGAGGTGAAGAAGGAGTAGGGATGCGGGATGCACAGGGAATATGGAAAAGACTTTCGATTACTCATTAGAGTTTTGGTCAGGTTCATACGAGAGCTGTACGTGTGTCGCTTGTAATGATTATTTGAGCCGAAAAGAAGAATGCTCGTCATAGTGTTAATTTTATGGAACTCCTCTATATCTATACCCGATATTCCCAGTATAGTCGTGGTGCAACTCAGACCCAGTAGTAACCCTCAACGCCATGCAGATGACCGTCATAAGTAAAAATGAAGAAACAGGAAAAAGGGGGGGCAGCGCACAAACTAAAGTGTGCATTGTCTCGAAGGATACAGGACCCTCCAATAACAAGAGAGTTCCGAGCGAGAGCAAGTGCCTGGCCGTTACTGCAGGGGAAAGTTCCTCTTCAGCCCATCATAAACCATAAATATAAACGCAGAGCTGGGTGCTGAGCGCAGACAAGTAATACCACAGCCGCGATATAGACCACGAACTCCGTATTGACGCCATACTGCGAGGCCCTCATCCCAAAATGTCCGCTTCTGTGCCAGCGTGCCTACGGCGATGGTCTGCATGCGAGACTTGATTGTGTCGGCAGGGAAGAAGAGGAAGTTGTAGGAAACACCGGCTGAAGCACCAGCGACAGCTTGCTGCCAGAGTGGCAACGGCTCGGCCCTGATCCTCCTCGCCTCATCCAGAGACTTGGCCGCGCGCGTCTTCATGTTGTAAAACAGCGACGTAACCGTCTCCTTGGCTCCGAACCAGGCGGCACTCCCTCCGCCTTCTCTGATGAGCGTTCCCATCTGACCATGCCAGAAACCCCGTAGCCCCTCATGACGAAAGACATTGCGCACAACAGCAAGCGGCCGCATAGCAGGAGCAACAGCACCGTCCGCATGCTGAGGCACCTGGACTTTGCACTTGACGAGTTCAATGGGGGTCAAGACAAAGGAAGCACAAACCCCGGAGAAGGCACCGGTCACCCATAGAGCTGGAACAGAGAGACCCTTCTCTCGCGAAGCAAGGCCAGTAGCGAGCAATACCTCGCGCCCAACCTTCTCGAAGAGGAAGAGGCTGCTCGTCTCGGCGGCGGCTCCAACTAGCGGAGCGCTAATGCCTCGGTAGAGTCCCAAGAAGCCATCCGCCTTTAAAGATTGTCGAAAACAGTCGAGAGGGCCGGTATATCGAAGAGGAAGATGGTCGGGCTGGCTTTGCAGCCGTACTTTGACCGTGTCGAAGGGGTACTCGATGTATTTGCCGACAATGCCAGCAATCTGTCACAAAAAGAAAACAAGTCAGCATGGCCTTCATTCATTGCAACTAGCGCCCAAGGCAGGACGGAAATCAAAATCAGACAGAGAGAACAAAAGGCACTCACCGATCCATAGACAATACCCTCAAATGCCTCTATGAGCGCCGAGCTGCCCCGAAGCGCCAGCTCCGTGGGCATGGCCGACGAGGGTTGGGCAGCGATTTGCGCGTGGTCCATATCGGAGGGAAAGTCGGCGGCGGGCCGGCGAAGCAGATGGTATCTGTGATCGGAGTCGGGGAAAAAAGTGGTGGAAAGCCCTCGCTACGTCTGCTCCGGTGAGGAGACAGCTCTCGCGAGGAGGAGGTCAGGCTTTTCAAAATTGGGACGTCGCACTTGCACCATATATAGTATTTCTCTTCTGGGTGTAAGACGGACGGAAGGAGGGAAAAAAAAAAGAGATGGACCCCAGAGGTGTTTGGCTTCGCAGTTCTAGAGCCTCGCAGCGATTCTGACGTGGGGCATTTGCATTTGCCCGCGCAACACTGAAGCTTATGGGGGGGGCCGCCTTTGCAGGGATGGTTCTGACGACGGTTGCAGGGATCAGTTGATCAGTTGATGACCCAGAGACTAGCAGTACTCACAACCCAGCACCTTGCAAAAACGAACAGGAATACATATATGTGTGTACAGCTGCAGATGGAAGGATCCACGTGCAGACAGTAGATCAGGATCAAAGGGGATATGACAAGAAGGACAAGGAGAGAATGGGGGGGACGATGGCAGGCAGGTGACGGCGGCCGACTGGTTTATATGCTGCGGTGCAGAGTGGCCGGAATTACACTACAATAGGCGAAGATCGTGCCCAGCTGTTGGGAATTCCGTGCTTAAGCTTCTGGCGGTCTACCACACCGGTTCCAGATGCCCCTTTCAGACTCGAGATTTGTCCACACGTCAATGTCGGCCATGGGCGCTCGACTAGAATCGAGCTGAAGGCGTGACGAGTGCACAGTGCCAGGTACCGTCTGGTGTCGAATCATCATCGGGCGGCATCGGTCTCGACCCTGGTGCCCCGTGGTTGTTTGTTGCATTGACCCCAGCCAAAATTGAGCATTGAACATTGAACATTGAGATTGACTTGACAGTTGCCGCCCGATGCGGCGGCGCCCGCAGCACAAGTACATGGCGCTGTACGTACACTGCACCTCGGTGCTCTGTTCTGCTGACGTGGGCTTAGACTACCAGACTCTACCTGTACAGTGTGCCAAATCGCAGGCAATCTACTCAGTGCTCCGTAGACATGGATGCATTGACGCTGGGTTCCCTTCCTCAGTTCTCATCACGGCAACCCGGCCCATGGCAGAGCAGCACGCCGATCCCCTTCACCCTCTCAGCCATCTAGGAATGACGTGCCTGGCCCGTCGTTGCGACCATGTGGTAGCACCCGGAGCAAACAGGTGGGATATCGCCCGCACGAGGTCAAACCGCTTGCACCGTTGCACTGACAGCGACGGGGCGAGACTTGCCTCTCCTTAGCACAGCCTGCTTGCCGTGTTGCCGGCGCACAGGCTTGGCCGTTTTATTTTATTCAAGCCGGAATGCCAACGTTGTATTGGGACGCTGCCGAATTAAGCGGCCTGGGACCTTGCTATGAACGCCTGCGCGGCCTGGCCGGTATCATGGTACCAAAGAGGGGGGAGGTTGCGCTTGTCTCACGGCTCTTTTTTTTTCTTGGTTCCGTCTTTCTCCTGGCTGCTCAATGTTCCCTAGTAGGTTCCAGTTTCATCAACTTGCTCCTCCATTGCTGCAAGTCACTTTGCGAGAAAGTATAGTTATGTGTCGCCTAGCCGCATATACTCCACAGTGCACACAGCGTGCCCAGCTTGACCGGCTCCGATGGGACCAGCATTCGCATCTGATAAGATGCTGAGACTAAAATTCCCGCAAAGTTACGGAGCACACACTAGCACTTGCATATTTCAACCACTCTAAACCCCCGAACGGAACGGGGGTCGCGGCGAATGAAGTTGTGGTGGCCGGTCCAGGGATATCTCGGCACCTGGCCAAAAACCCACCATTGCCATGCATCACCAAGGCTTGGACTTGCCTGAAATCTGCCTCGTAGATCTCTTGACGTGGTTTGGGCTTATGTATGGTGATGTTATGGGTCCATCCATTCCACAGTTTAATGCAATGTGCCTTGATTCTATGAGACTTTCGGTCCGTCTAGAGCTGGCAAACTCGATTTTATTATCCCGTGTTCAGACTCGCCCTTCTTGGCACAACCCTATTCCACATCCATGCGGTGTACCCCTGACAACGCGACAATACTTAGGCAATCAGGGAGGGGAATGGGGGACAAAGGTAGAGTCCCTCAATAGTGAATACTATATTGTACAACCTGTTATTCCTACCACCCAGCGTGGCTCAGCACTATTGGGAGTCTCCCGTTTTGGCACCTTACTGCTTCTTCTTGGTGGCCGCCTTGCTAGCAGGAGTATCCTTCTTCGCCGCCAAAGCAGCCTCGTCTTCTGAATCTCTCTTCTCCGCATACCACTGGCCGGCCTGCAGAACTAGAACGCCAATCAATACAAGTGCCAAGATGGTATTGCTGGCAGAGAGCACCCTCAAGCTGTCCTCGCGTCCCAGAATCACCTCGCCATCGAACCTAGACTTGGCATTCTTGAAATCATCGCTGTCAAAGTAGCCCGAGCTCATGGTACGCAGGCCCTTGACAATGTTGGTAATGTACACGGCAACGCCAATCGTGTAGAGGATCAAGGACGCGCCATCAAACAAAAAGTTGGCCTCGCTAGGTCTGAACAGCTTGATGAACAGCCCCAGGAACCCAACGCTTACAATGATGTTGAGCATTCGTCCGATGAGAGGTGGCGACTGGTGAATGAACTTCAAGTGTGTCTCGATCTGATCATAGTAGCTGGCCGGAACGGGCTCCTTGCTCCAGAGCAGTGGGAAGTCGTAGGGAAACGACGCGAAGAGGATTCCGAGGAAAAAGCAGGTTGCTGCGACAAAGTGCCACGTTAGCGCGATTACATGCCCATGATCATTTAGGTTGCGCCGTGATGCGCTCGTAGACAAGCATACGTCCGATAATCATAAACGTCGAGAAGGATCCAGACCCGCGATAACTGGATGACTTGGTCGTCTTGGACCAATCGATATAGGAGCCCATTTTCGAAAGTATGATGAGGCGAGAGGCCGGCTAGATTCTATTATGTGCTAGTCGTATGCGTGCACGGGGAGACGTCACCGGAGCTGGTGTCTAGTCGTATTGAGGTGTTTTGTCGCGAGGCAACACGCGAATTTTGTCGCCAAAAGTGTGGAAACTGCTTGATGTGGCGTCGCGAGGCGGAGTGTGGGGGACCTGGAGCTTACTCCCTGAAGACATCCACAAATAGGTGCAGGCTCATTACTCGTGGCCAACACGCCAATTTGTTAGTAGCTAGGTGTGGGCATCGCCAATTTGCTAACGGAGGAGTTGCATCTCCATCATTGGCCATTTTGAAGGGGCTCCTTCCTCCTCGTCGTTTACTTCGGCAAAAGTGGAAAAGAGTCAACTGGTTTATCCAGTTGAGAAGACAATATGCGAATGTTCCTCTGTTTATCTCCTAGTGGTCTTAATTTTCACCTGAATCGTTTTACTCATTCATCAATCACTCAGCAAACGACGTCTTCAACTGCGAGGCTCAGCGGAACCTACCCTACAGAGACGGGGGCTCTCGCCTCCTACATTGACATCATCAGAATCATCTTTCGACTTGGCCGCAAATCCGACCAGAATCCAATGACAGATGAATAACGACAGACAGAATAATGCTCAAATTGCTAGTCGTGAGTCTGCAAGCCTGTCACTAGCAGCTCGAATGAGCTAGGCATGTGGGAAAATGGCATACCCTGTACTACACAGAAAACCAAACCGTTAATAATTTTCCCAAGCATCTTCAAGAAGAATGTCACCGATTACTGGGTCCGAGGTGAGGGAGAAAAAGGTTTCTTGTATTAAGTGTGGTAGGCTGCTTTGTGTTTTCTAACGTGCAGAGTTGTTGCCAATGACTCGTAACACCTGTTTCAATATGTAAGAAAGAGACTCAGCTAACAAATGCATCTACAGTGACATATGGCATAGACAGGTTCAGACTTTACAATCTTTAAAGATTGAAAGACCAATTCCAAGATGCACATGGGATGCCGCTGCCGATTGTTTCAGCTCAACAGATAAGCAAGCTAGACCTCCTAATCCGAGTTCGTCATAAGCAACGACCGAAATGTTGCAACTGTTCACATCGGCCATCTACAGCAGGCAAATACTTATTCCCTCCAACTCAACCACTGTCGGTAGCCTGATTAACCGGACAGCCGGGACACCCATGGCACCGGATGAGGCAATTAAAACTGTGGACAAGGAGTGTGATTACAATCGGCAGGGATGATGGGGCACAACCGCCACACACTTTTATCAGATGATCAGATAATCGCACCAAAACACTGTTCAATTATGCCAAGACAAAAAGCCCACCAACAAATCAAGCCAAAACATTAGTTAACTACTAGACGGCAGCCACAGGGACAGGCAAGGCATCCTTAGAAAACCCAGGGTATCCTTTTTGACGCCATTCCTGAAAAGTTACGCCTCCTGCAACAGACGGCATTTTCACCATGAGGGGCACTTCGATGTCCTTTTCCGTTCCGAGTACCTCGGCCTTGTGAACAATCTTTTCTGGCAGCAACTCGAATCCCATCTTCTTGTACAAGTTCACTGTCGAGGGAGATGACTCAAAGTACAGAGGCAATCCGGCCAGCTCGCCCATCTGCATACCCCACTGAACCAGGAGCTGTCCCGCCTTGCGTCCTTGATGCTGAGGATCCACCGCAATAACGTGGCAGTCTAGATTCTTGTCAATTTCCACATCACGAGAAGCCACATTGCATTGCATTGCTTCGCTTACAGATGTATGGCCGCCCACCGAAGAGCCTCTCTCTCATTTCCCACAGGGGGTTGAGGACCTTCTCGGCTCGTTCCCGGTGTTCTCCCTCCAACCACGGAACTCCATGGTTTTTGCGCTCTTCCGGAGACCGCTCCCGAAGATAGACATCACCAAGGCCCATGCCGATAATTTCGCCTGTGGATGTGTCGACACATTTGAGCGTGTATTGGTTGTCACTGCTATGCCAGTATTGCAAGGTCCCGGCAGCGTGTCCTTTTCTAAACTCATCATCGGTGATTTGCGCGCCCGGGAAAAGAATTTTGAGCATGATCTGACCCATTAGGTCGTGCTCAAAGGCAGAAAAGTACACATCATAGATGCGACGAATATCTGGAATAAGGGCTGGGAGAATGACTTGACCCATGCTGGACAGAATTTACAAGGTCAAAAGAAGCTTTTTGGGGTAGAGTTAAAATTCAAGGAAAAGATCGACAACAGACCGTTCAACTTGAAGGCCCGACTATATATCGTTTACTTCAGCCTGGGTTCAAGGCTCACGCAGAAGGTAAACCAGTCAAAAAAATTGCTCCACCACGAGGAGTTTCCGGGAAGCGGGCTGGCCAATGCTGTGGTATGGCCGCATTTATTCTTGTTCGTGTGGCAGGCGAGGCCGGGTTTGTTAGTATAGCATGGCGTTGATGACCTATCCTATGGGTGGGATGCATGACGTCGCAAACACAGGATACACTCTCGACTCGGAACGGCTGAACACTTTCGACACCAGCTCCCTTGCTCCCTTACCGAGTACAGGGGCAATGTCCCCAAGGATTAGCTCCTTTCATCTAGAAGGCTTCAGGCTAATTACGGCAGAATTTTTGGCATATGCAGCAGACTGACGAGAAATCGTTGCATCCCATTATTCAATTCAACTATTACTGATCTCTCGACCCAGAACATTGGGGCTCATTATGTGTAATTAAACAATTCACACTTTACGGAACAATGTTTCCAAGGAAAAGAAACCACACTGGATTTCCCCCGACTACAATTCACCAGGAGAAAGTTTGCAGCTTTGTGCCTAGCAAGTTACAAACTTCTACCATTGATACACATCCAATTAGTTGACTTAGAGGAGTTGGACAGCAGCAGCTCCAACACACATGGCACCCAACATGGCGGTGCCAAGTTTCAAGTTCACGCCCTTGCCAAAATTAGCTCATATTAGTTTGGATGGAGGCTCGCGGCAAACTTACGGCAGCGGTCACAACACCAGAAGAAGTTGGCTGAGCTGCGGTCTGGTTGGTGGTTTGAGAAGGCTGCTGGGTAACAGTGGCAATGGTGGACGAGGCCTGTGAGGAGTGACCTTGTACTGGCGGCACGACAGTTGATGCCACGGCTGAAGCGGCAACAGAGGTGGCAGTCGAGGCGGCATTCAAGATAGTCGTCACATCGTTCTCGGGGCTTGACTTGACAGCGGTATCAACGGGAGCATTGCTGGTCGTGGCTGGGGTGGTAACGGCAGGAGCCTGGCTGGTAGCCGGGTTCTGTTTGTCCCAGGAAAAAGAAAAAGTCAGCAAAGGAGCTTTTCGAGTCTGTTGGCTGAGCGCATTGGGGGAGAGCAACATACCACAGGACGGGTAGGAGGGTCGATGGGCACACCCATGTCTACCGCTTTCTGTTAGTCCGAAGAATTACTTTGGATCGATGGCCTTTCACGAACCTTTGCAAAGACTAACACCAAAGTTGACTGCATCTTGGGCATTGTCACCACACTTGGAGTAAGCGCACTCTGCGAAATAGTTCTGGAGGTCCTTGCCCTTGCAGAAGCAAAGGTACATACTGGCCTCCTTGCAGGAAAGCGGAGGATGCTCAGTAACCACGGACTGGAAGCAGTCGACCTTTTGAACGATGTCAGCTAGATGGAGTCTACAGGTCCTTTTCGCCTCGAACTTACAGCACACAGGGACTGTGCAGAAACAGTGGCCAGAAAGGCGGCAACAGCAACGACAGTGGTCTTCATGATGTTTGAGAAAACACTAAAACTCGAGGAACGAATGTATGGATGTTGCTGAAGGGCGGAGATACGCGAAAGAAAACTGCGAAAGAAAACTGAAGCTCGAAAGAAGAACTATGATTTAGCCTCAGACTCCTATAAAAACGGTGGACAAACCCACGATGACTAGGAACGCACCCGAGAAGGTAGATATACCTCACCCCGAGCCAAGCCAGTTTGGCAGGCCCCAAATCCCGACTCGTTTTGTTACAGGGCTTGATTTCGAGGCGTAGTCGAGAACAATGAATTCTTCAACTCGGAGGGAGCTATCGACGTTGGTGATGTGGAGTCTTTGTGATGGGCCCATTAAATCTATCAGCTCTTGGTGTTTTGAGCTTCATAGTTATCAGATCATCAGATAACAGCTGAATGGGCTCGGACCTGTCAGGCCCACACCACACGAGGCATGCCTGGAAATAGGGTTCTCATTTTTTCGAAAGATGCTGGCGCAATCAGTAGGAGGGACCAAGGCCATACTCAAGTGCACATCGTCCCCAGGCGGAGTGAGGAGGAGTACATACTGCGTGGAGGCTGCTGTGGCTGAAACTCTAACTGCTCAAGGATGGCACCCCATCTTATCAGATCCTCGGGCCCTGGTTGTCTTGACAGGGGGACCCTTGCCCCTTGGTCGCCCTGTCAGGCAATACTAGTCTACTACATTTTAGTCAAGACGGCTCCACAAACGCTCTCTGGTCCCTGTTTTGCGATTCAGCTGAGATAAAATAGCTCCAACCAACCCCATCTTTAAGCGACGGGTTTGCATACCAACAGGCTGTTGTCCAATGAGCACGATAACCGACTACTCCGGTAGCGCGCAGGGAAAAGTCGGTGTCATGCGAATAGATGAAGTTGAGAGCTCGGATCAACAAAGCTTGCTGAGGCCCAACTCGTGGCTTGCATTATGCAAGGTGAAATGAACCATGACGAACAAGCTCGGAGGCAAAGACATACATGTTAGCGTCGCCTAAAGACGCCGTTTCCCGGGGTATGATTCAGTTTTGCCGCTTCTCAAACACCGTTTTTATCCGTGTCTTCTCGGCCACTGGGTCATCAAAGCATCAGTCAACGTCTCGGCCAAGCAATGAAGAAGTTTTTGATACTAGCCGGATGCTTTGAGCGGCCGCAAGCCCCTGTCCTAACGCTACTTGAATATGTACATACAACGTCCACCCGGAGCCGGTGACGTTTCTTTCCACCCATCACCCAGTTTGCCGCCTACAGGGCAGCCAACAGCCCGGCGACAAGCAGACCGAGAGCCCTTCCTGGAGCATCAGTGGCCGCAGCTCCGGGAGCCGAGGTGCTGGTGGCCTGACCAGCCGAGGATCGTGTTGAGGCAGCAGAAGTAGTGTCCCCAGTCACGACTCCGGTGGCTGGACCAGTTGCCGTGGGAGCAGTAGTCTTTGAAGCACCTCCAGCCTTGGCCTGAGCAGTGGCAGCAGCACAGAATTTTGCGCCGGCGGGCAGAACCTTGCCTATTACACCACGGTGTGAGTTGGGTCGGGATACAAAGTCGTTGAGCAAGATGAAAACATACCGACGGCTTCATCTGGGCCACATGCTTGCAGAACACAGTTCACGCCAGCGTTGTAGATGGCCTCATAGTTCTTCTGAACGCACATACAGACGGCATCGTCCATTGAGCAGTCTGTGGCCTGTTTCGTAGCCTGATCAAGACACTTGAGAGAGCACTCGGGAAAGTAGTCCTTTCTGTTCTGCGCGACGACACTGCCGGTAAAGGCACAGGCCAAGAGGAACAGAGTTGACTTCATGGCGAGATTCGGATGGGAAAATAAGTGTACGACTGCAGAACTCGATGCTTTGTTGCCCTGCTTCTGCGGGTGTTGGAGATGGTGATATTGTGAGCTGTTCCTGATAGAACAAAGAATCTCAAGTTCGGGATTGGTTACCACGAGGAGATGTAAAACTGGAAATGCCGGAGCTGCATACATAACCACAAGCATGACATCTCTTATGCTTAAGCGAAAGGGGAAAAAATCCCCCACCACTTCGCATCCTCGGGAACCTTGGCACATCTCTCAAGAAATTCATCCTTGTTCCATGCCGGGTCGCCGACTGTTCATGGGTCGGCGCCACACCGGCGCTATTGAAACAATTTCAGGCCTGGAACACGGAACCTGCACCGGTTTTCTGATTGATAAGATTTTTCATCGGCATGGGTTTCGGCATGTCGTCAAGACAGAGCTGTAACTGGTACGGTGACCTCGGCTGTGGCCAGAGATGTGTTAGCCGCATGCTCCAACTCATCCGTCAGTCACCTCACATACATGACAAGATTGAGTGGAACTTTGTGGGTTGTTTTTCATTTTTGGGGGGAGATGCAGAAGTGTTTGACAGCTTTGGGGAGCTACCCTTGCATTTGATCTTGTCTCGGGACATGTCATGCCTCAAGCGCGCAGCCCTCTACAAACTCCCCACGATCAAAGTCAGTGCCATAGTAGAAAGAGAGAAGGCGTTGTCGAAAATGGGCATCTTTTCTCGATTTGCTGCCTGTCCGGAGAATACAGCAGGGACAAAGCAGGATATGGCTGTGCTCCGCTCTGAGATACCGATGGACTCGTCGGAAAAGGACGAGGAAAGGCCAGCATCTGATAAAGGGAAGCAAGATGGCGTCAAGAAGGTTGAAGCTGCGGCAGCCGTTTGGACAAAATGGCATCTTGTAGCTGCGTTTGCCAAGTAAGTAGACTCCCTTGCTGCTTATCGATGAACAACAACCCAGCCTGGTAACATATACGGCGCAGTATTTGGCTCATCTACTTCATTCTCTCCATCATGGAAGTCGTTTTTCGCACGTTGGACCCTTTTGTTACTAGCACGTTTCAAAAGCATTCTCTCACTGCGGCAATGGGCATCATATCCAGCATCGTTGGCGGTCTTTCAAAGCTGGCCATTGCCAAAATCTTGGACACTGTCGGCCGGCCGCAAGGTATGGCATTGGCTCTGACCTTTTGGGTTATGGGCATGGTCATGATGGCCGCGTGTAAGAATGTTGAGACGTACGCGGCAGCGCAAGTGTTTGCGCAAACTGGGTATGCTGAGATGTGACGGTGCGGTCGGCGGCCGAGCTGAATGCTGACTCTATGACAGATCACAGGGTGTGAGCTACTGTTTAACCATCTTCATCGCTGATACAACGAGCCTTCTAAACCGCCCCCTCATGCTGGCTTTTGCAACATCCCCTTATATTGTCACCACCTGGATCGGTGGACCGATGGCCACGAGCGTCATCAAAGGCCCTGGCTGGGAATGGGGGTTTGGCATGTGGGCAATCATCACACCGGTTGTGGTGCTGCCGCTGGTGCTCGTATTTGCATGGAACCAGAACAAGGCCGAGAAGAAGGGCCTGGCCCCAAAGAATTCCATTCGGGACATCAGCCTCGGTGCTGTCAAGAGGTTCGCCATTGACGTCGATCTCATTGGCCTGCTCCTTTTGGCTGCCGGCATGGCACTGTTCCTCCTCCCATTCGCATTGTACCAGTACCAAGACGATGGCTGGAGAAGCGCTCTTGTCATCTCCATGATTGTCGTGGGCGGCCTTCTCATCGGCGTCTTTGTGCTTTGGGAAAAGTTTGGCGCTCCAGTCACCTTTATCCCACTGCGTCTCCTTGCCGACCGCACCGTCTTTTTCGCCGGCCTCATGTTTCTCTTTGTGTTTGCCAACTCACTCATCTGGGGGAGTTTCTTTACCTCTATGCTGCTCGTTGTCTGGAACACGGGCGTGACCAAAGCGACGTACATTTCCAACATTTACAGGGTTGGATCGTGTTTCTCTGGCCTGGTCATCGGCTACCTGATCCATCTCACGGGGCGATTCAAATGGGTCGGCACCATGTTTGCCCTGCCCCTGATGCTCCTCGGCGTCGGTCTCATGATATACTTTCGACGAGCCAGCCAAAGTCTCGGTTTTGTCATCATGACCCAAATATTTGTGGCCTTTGCCGGCGGCCCACTCGTTATTGCCGGCGAAATGGCCATGATGGCGCCTTCAGACCATCAACATGTTGCCGTCATCATTGCGATCCTCGACTTGTTTTCTGGCGTTGGCAATGCTATTGGACGAGCAATCTCATCCGCAATCTGGGCGGGGACATTCAAGGACGCCCTGAGGAAGCGACTGCCTGCCGACGCGCCGATTGATAGCATCTATGGCAGTCTGCCTATTCAGATGAGCTATGAACCCGGATCAGAGGAGAGAATTGCCATTTCTGAGGCGTATTCCGAGTCGCAGCGGTATATGCTGATCACCAGCACATGCTTTGTGGTAGTCGCCTGGGCGTGTACGTGGGTTTGGAGGGATATCAAGTTGAAGGACAAGAAGCAGACAAGGGGATATGTGGTGTAGACATTGCCTGCTCAGGCGGCGAATTGTAAAAGAAAGACGGGGGTACGCGCTGGAGGCTAGTTGGCGAGACTCTGCATCGACACCATGCCATCATGATTGCAATACCTGGCTAGACGCCTTCCCGATGGGCGATTGTATACTCCAATACTATGAATGCGACGTATGCCAAAATCATGACAACCCCAACTGCCTTGGCTCCCCTCCCCCTGAGCCACACTGTCACTGTAAAAGTCAGCGTAGACACCCAAAGGACGGCCAGCTCCCCAATCGTCACTGTGCCTCTGTCCAGCTCTCCGCCGGTACTAATCAATATAATACCACAGCACAACGACAACAAGAAGATGTTGCTCCCCGCGCAGTTCGCTACTAGAATCTGACCATGCCCTCTATATCCACTCACGACGGAAATCAATTTCTCAGGAAGCGTAGTTGCGATGGAGAGGATAACGACGCCAAATGAGATGTCAGACATGTGCAACTGCGTAGTTATATTCGCCGCAGAGTGCGCGAGAATGTACGCTGACAAGGCGAGGGCGACAATGCCGAAGATGAGTTGGAGAGTGTGATGGGCGACGGAGCGACGGGGCGGGCTTGGAGAAGGACTGCCGATGAGGGCTGTCCGTTCAGTGTCTTCATCTTCATCTTCATCTTCGTCGCCGTCGTCCGAATCGGAGTCCTCGGGAGCGGCAAGGACGCCCTTGACGACGGCGACACCTACAGAGACGAAGTAGACGACAAACCCGACGATCAAGACGGATCCGCAAACAATCCACGTAACTCTGCTGGAGTAGTGCACGACGGGAACAACGAGCGTGGTCAGCACAAGTGTCAGCAGAGAGTAGATGCGCGAGCCGCGATCAAACTCAATGTTTCTGGAGCAAAGCAGCCCCAAGGAAAAGGCACCCAGGATATTGGATATGGATGCGCCAATGACATTGCCGAGGGCAAGGGACGAACGGCCCTGCCCGAGGGAGGAGACTACCACGGCGAGCTGACTTTGTCAGTGTGTACAACATGGCGAATGCGAGATGGGGAACTGCGGCAGCAAAGTGAGAGAGAACCTACTTCTTCCCATTCGGCGCCGGCGGTAACCAATCCAATGAGGAGTTCAGACACGTTAATGACGGAGGCTAATGTGGCGGCGTGGGATATAAATTTGTCGGTGGCAAACTCGAGGAGGAAGAGGGTTGATATGAAGACGCATATGTTGTAAGGGAGGCTGACGTCTTGGGCCATGTTGGCTCGTGGTCAACCAGTGACGGTGATGGTGTTGAGGTGAGAGAAGTTGGGGGAGATTGAATGAGAGGCGCGATTGAGCGGCGGGGACACTGGGGAGGGAGCGCCAAATGGGCCATGTTGATGTTTCTACTCGGGGGGCAATTGGCAGGAAGGTTTTTGTAAATAAATATTGTTCTGATGACTTTTGCATTCAGGTAATAAAGCAAAAGTTTCTGGCGGCAACTTTGGCCGTCGGGTCATGACCAAGCGCAGCGTCTGTCTCGACTCTCAAGTCACGACTCACGACTTGCGACTCACTGGGTCGGCGTACATGAGAAGGTTGCCACCTACTTGAACTTCGGAACAAAGGAAAAAAAACATGGACTCACAGCACATTGTACCAGTCTGACGATGTATGATCCATTCCAACAAGAAACAATAAAATTAACCATGCAGGTTGCAGCCAAGTTTTGGCCGTGCGCGCGCCCAGCCGCATCAGCCTCTGACTAAGCCTCCCATGATCCATGAAGCTAAACGGAAATTGAACAACAAATTGCCTGTCACGGCCTTGCCCAGCCCCTGACGTCCGATTCCATCATCTGCCGCACAGCCGACTCAATTGCTCGCCAAGGGCATAAGTCGTAACCTGTGCCCATCTTACAGGCCATTCTCCTACTACCTGTTGCCCGGTGCTTCGTCATGATACTCTTCCGCCTCCTTCTGCTCCTAGCCTCCTCTCTCACCCTCGCAGCAGCTCAGCAGAGCTCTGCCGTGCAAACCTACAGGGAATCCAAAACGTACACCTATTACGGGTGCTACAACGAAACGACTGAAATCGATGGCTCCGACCACTCACGCGCCTTATCCGGCGGCGCAAATGAAGTCAAGAAGGGCGAGATGACGGTACCAATGTGTCTTGACTTTTGCAATAGTGGGGAGAATGGCGCTCATTATCGCTATGCAGGGCTAGAATGGGCCAGGTGAGTTTGACCAAGTCGCGACGAAGAAACTTGGACACGACTCTGGCGTTGTAAAAGGGGGGGCGCGAGAAGCTGACCTTTGGCAGGGAGTGCTGGTGTGCGCAGAGCATAGCCGGTATTTCGGCAAAGCTTGACGATGGAGAGTGCAACTTTCCCTGCGAGGGGAACACTTCGCTCGCCTGCGGAGGGTCTCTCAAGCTGAGCGTCTACAGGATGTCGAGTGCGGGTGCCCAGGCCTCGCCCGTGCTTTTGGCGTCGTTTCTTTCCCTCGTGGCTGCGTTTGCATGGTTGTGAGAGTCTTAGCTCTCGAGCTCGACGGGTTTCTGCATGAAGCATATTTACCACTGGGTGTGCATGGTACTTGGGAGGCGGGATGTTGTATTGTATATAGTAGCGCCTGCAAACAAGAACAAGGGAGAACATTGCTTCGACGGGCCGAGACAGGACCATGAGACTAACTACGGAGTACCAGGCCTGGAAGTCGACCATGTCTACCCAAAGGACAACATGATGGGCAGAAAGGATACACAAAAAAGACAAAAGTTCCCTGACATGCAACTTTTAAACTCACTAGAGGATCTGCATAATACGGAGATACCTAGAGAGCTGGTCATGTATCATCACAAAGTCTCGGGCATGGTTTCGCACGCCTGCGAGAAGAAGATCCTCGCAGGACCTTCACCGTCATTCACAATGCCATAATAATTCCCTAGAAGCAATCAGCACACCTCGGCACCTATACATAATCCCGGGCCGAACAGAAACTCACCCCTAGGCACAGTCCAGATGCCACCAGTCGAGATTCGAAACCTGGTCTGGTGGACCGTCACCAAGACCTTTCCATAATGCACAAAAAACACCATTTGCATCATCCTTGCGTTCTTGGTTCTCTTCTCGCCGCCGGGGGGGATATCCACCACGCCCGCGCCCATGTACGGCGTGTGAAGGGTTTTGGCGTAGCTAAAGGTGGCCCCTGGGATTTCCCAAGTCTCGATCGCGCTGGCCGATATAGCAATCTGCTCGTCTGCAATATCAACCTCGATGGCTTCGATCGGTGGCCAGAGTTGGAGTTGGTAACTTGGCTGCCAGACGACGACGCTGGCGCGGACCGTGCCTTCGTTTGTCTCCCAAGCGTCCAAGTCTTGGTCATGGGCGGCCGGTTCAACGTTGCCGTTCGACTTGGACTCTGTCTCTGGCTGACTTGTCGGGCCTCCCCTTATGACGAGTTGATACTCGGTAAGAGGCACGTCTTGTCCCACCAGTGGTTCCTCTGTGTGTTCTACCCGCCGGGCATACTCGGAAATTTGATGGGTGATGCTATCCATCGTGCCCGGAAACAGTTGTCTTATTTGATCTCGGTAACGGAAGCGGGAGGGCCTTTTTTTCTTCTCCTCTGTTTCTTCACTGTTTCTGGTTATTGGTCATGCTTGCGCTAGTGATATTGCTTTTGGTGTGGGCGGCTGAGTCCAAGAAAATAGATGGAAGCCAAAAGCGAATACTGCTAGGCAGCAGGACGACGAGTGAGGACTCTGCATATGTGAGGAGTAAACTGTTGGCCCCTCTAGCATATTCTCTCCCTTATTGGGTGTCAGGCTTTCGTAGGCACGTTGACCACGGTAATCAATAGAGGCCTCACCTTATTTACTAAAAGGTTTCAGTAATTACTTTGATACCATCTTTGCTTTTTCTAGTAATTATAGCTATTAACAACATTCTTTAGTATTAAAGGTCCTTGGTTATCTAAACGCCTAGATGACCTAAAGAACTCTATCAAAGCAGCGGTGAGCCTGATGCCCAAGTCTCGTGATCATAGCCCTTGTGTAACACAGTGACGTCTGACAGAGCCTCACTACGTGCACGATGAGAGTAGGGCCAAGCTTGCCGCTAACCAAGCCTGCGACCTGTCGAAACATGTCACAGAAGATTTCAGTGTTCCTTCGCCTTGATACGAAAATGTTGAGAAGACCTGGACCAGGCGGGGGATTTGGAACCGAAAATGTGGGATACTGCCTGGAAGTCGTGGAAACATGAGAAACCGTTTGAGGAGGAAGGCGCCGACGGCCCTGCTCCTGCGTGCCCACTTGTGAACGGCAACCACGAAGCGGGAAAGGCACCTGGTGTGCCTCCATGTCTTTTTGTCCTGGGCCTCCTTCTCTCGTTGCATCAAATCATGGCCAGGCGTCTGACGCCTTGAATCCATCTCAACAAAGACCGCCTGCGAACATTAATTCCGCCGAAGTGGAAAATAGCGACGATGCAGAGCGCTCTTCCTCTACGTCGGCTTCAACCACCCAAGTTGGGTCCAACAGGTTCTTTTTGTCACCCAGCAAGCGAAGGACCTCCCATGAGGATGGTTAGGTATATATATACACACACACTCACACAAACGCTTGGAATACCCTGCCGAAGATACGTGATAAAGTGAGACGTTTCCCGGTCCATTGGCCTTGAGGGTGGCCTACTACTCAGTATACTAATACAAAATCTACAATGGTTGTCATCAAGTCATGAGTTAAATATCCAATGGCCCGAATCCCCGCTCCTTTACAGCAGCCTGCACAGCACTTTCGACCTGTTTTGCAGCTTCGCGCCATGATTCCTGTCCCCTTCCCGGACTTCCATCCTGTTCCACAAGGATATGCAGCCACTTGATGAGAATGACGACCTTTTCAAGGTCTCGCTCCTCCTTGACTACCTTTTGCAGGTACTTGTCAAATACCTCTACATCACTACTGTGTGGCCCATCATGCCGTGTCTGGGTGTGCCAGGCATCAAGCATGTCCTTGACTTCTCGTGTCGAGGTGACTCCTGAGCTGGCAAACGCTACTTTTCGCGGAGGGGCGGGAAAGGTTATCTTCCTCTGACCACCAGGCAAGACACTCTCTGTATCTGAAGTAGCGTGTCTCCGCGGTGGAGCGTCGAGGCCTGATCGGAGGGCCATTCTTCGGCGGCGGTGGTCAGCAACTACTTCCTTGCGCACATCCTCTGGCAGCTCGGCGAGGAACTCGGCGTCCAGCTCCTCAATTTCTTCCACGATGGGGCTCTCAGACCCTGGCCTGAGTGTCCTGAAGTTTGTCTGAACCACCCCGGTCTGTGCATCTCGTTGACGCTGGACCTTGCCAAATATGCTCCGGATGCCACCTTGTTTGGTAGGCGTCGTTTGCTTCCGTGGCTGTACAAGATGTTGGTCTCTCCGTGGAGATTGGGGTACAGCAGGTCTTCGTCCATACGTGGCCAGGACTTCGGCTTTCATATCATCAGGAAGAGCGTTGAAGACGTCCGCATCGATCTGTGAAGGGAGCAGCGCCTCCATAGATGCAGGGCCTTCCAATCTTGGTACTTCTGGAGCAGGACTCTGTCGGGATCGCTGACCCATTAACCTACTCCTGATGTCATTCGGCAATTCAGAAATGACGGCGGGATCCGGGTTACTAGGGAGAATAAACTGAGTCCCGGATACATTCAACGGAGTGTTGGCTTTGGCATCTTCCTGTGCGGCCTTTGACAGTGCCATAGCAGGGTGAACCTTTGGCTTGCGAGGCGTCAGTGGATCATCGGCAATAGGATCCGTGTCTATGCCATGGCCAGGAGATCGCTTCGGCCTTTGCGGGCTTTCGATATCATCAATGGCCTCAGTTCGGGATGGCTTCTTCGCGGAAGAGGGACCTACAAACGGACCAAAGTTCAGTGTCCGTTGACTACTCTCGGTGGGCCGGGCTTGTTGTGCCTTGATCGGTTCCAGTTTGGTCATTTGCACGCCCAGACCACGCAAATCACCAGGACTAAATTTGAATGATCTCAAGATAGCGACGGCCTCTTTACCAATAGTTTCGGAGTTGTGCGTCGCCACACCAAATGTTGCGCTCTTGTTGAAAGTGTCACACCTGCCATGGCCCAGATGTTTGGCCGGGTCCAACGGTGCGTCCAGGCATCTTCGCATAATCTTCATGGTGAGATGCGTGCCCCTGACCTGCTCATTCACAAGACGCTTCTCCAACTCCTTGCACAAGTTGAACACAAACTCTTCTGCCTCTTGTTGGCTAATGAACCGAATTCCCCAGCTGACTTCAGCGGACACGGACTTTCGTGGTGGCTGCTCTCCAACCTCCGTTCGGTCAATGCCGCGAGCATAGTCTGAGAGTTTCTCGCTGGTCTTTGGTCCCAGGGCACCAGCAAGACGCTCCTTTGACACGGTCCGAACGTCTTTGACAAATTTGATTCCCAGCTCCTCAAGCTTTCCGCCGATGCTGTGAGAAACGCCAGGTAGTTGCTCGACTGTCAATTCGCCCACGATATCCAGGACACTCTCTGGCTTGAGCTGAAATTGCCCGGCTGGTTTGGCTCTTCGCAGCGCGACTTTGGCCTGTAAAATGTTACCACCGATGCCAACAGAAACATCGCATCCGGTTTTGGTTTTGATGCTCTCTCTGAGCCTTGCAGCAATCTCATCTGCCTTCTCCTGTTCTCGCCAGACATTTCCTTCATCAATGCCAATGCCCTGGGAGTCCGACGTAGAGTACACAACAGCAGTAGCGTCTATCAAAACCTCGTCAACACTGACGCTCTGCACGACTCCTCCGATAGACAAAATTGAGTCATAAAACAACCGACTAGCTTCTTCGTACGCGGGAAAGTCGTATGGCAAAACTTTGAGATCAGGACACAGCTCTGTAGCCCGTTTCATCCACATTCCATTTTTGACTCCGAATTCGCGAGCTGGGTAATTACAGCTTGCAATTTCAGACCCTGGACCACTGCTGTGTGCCACAACGGTAGGTTTGTCGGCATACTCGGGATGTTTCTTCAGCGATACAGCACAAAAAAAACTGTCAAAGTCAACGTGCATAATGTAGCCCCGCGCGCCTGGCTTCTTTTTAAACATCCTTTGCGTCAACCCTTTCTCGGCAGCTAGTCGCTGCATTGCTGACTTTAGGCTTGCCTTCCAGGTGGAGAGATGATGCAGTCGGCTTTCGGAGTAAAATTGCTTGAGAAACTCGGGGTTTGCTGTCGATGACTTGCGTAAACGGGGGTCTGATAACAACCAAGCATTGTGCTCCTCAGACGTCATTTCTTTGGCTGGCTCCGCAACTGGAGAGGGACTCCTAGTATCGACTACTCCACGACTTTGTTCTGGAGGTCCCATAACTTTATGATTCTGGGTGTCATGGCGGGTGGGTGTCACTACACCTTGGCTTTCCATGTTTCTGCAGAGGTAGGATTTGGGAGACGTCATCAGATATTGGCATCTATCGGCCGGTTTCTGTTGTTCGTTGGAAGCGAGCGAAACTGAGGGCTTTGATGGAGTTGGTGTCTCTTCTCCGAATCGGCTCAAAGACTGACTGGGATCGGTTGTAGACGACTTGAACTGTGATGTGTAGAAGCTATTGTCGGTCTGCTCCTTGTATCCCCGCCTAGCTTCTGGACTGGCCTGCGTCATGCCTCGTTCATCATCAAATCTTAGGACCTTTTGTCTCGGTCCTTCATCCAGCACACGATAATCGCCCCATGGCATCAACTTGCCAGCGGCCACCGAGTCCACGATCCATGCGGGTTTGACGATCCGGTATCGGCCAAAATCAACGCTCTTTTTCGGAGGTAGAGTGGAAGCAATGATATGGGTAGCCATTGTCTTCGAGTCCAAGTATTGAATGAAGCCGCCGCCGTGCTCCACGATTTCGCGATGAAGGCTACATTCGAGTCAGCACAGGTCAAACCGGGAGTGACACGGCAGAGGGCGTACACATGCAGGGGCGGCTGAGTATAGCCGGTAATATGAGCAACTATTCCCTTGAAAATCTGAGGTTTGTCAGAAGCGGCACGCAGATCGGCGTCGAGATTCTGCAGCTTAATCTTCTTGCGGCGGAAGTAGTCGCCAAATCCACCAAACTTGCTGCCCTCATACTCGTCACCCTCCTCATCTTGAAACTTGTGATCTTCTATCCTCTTGCGCACCAGAGACGAATTCTTTTCCAATACGCTGCCCATCGTGAGTGTGGCGAATTGTATCCGCTATGCCCGGAAGTGTGGTTCGGAAAGAAGAGCAAGTCTGGCAACGTGTGGTTCGATCATGATCCGAGTGGTCATGTTTTCGTCGCGAGTGTTGAGATACTATGCGCCATTATTTCACGCGACTTGGTTTATTGCGTGGCGCGAGGCGTTAGTCGAGGAGAGATATCCAAAAATGTTGCTTTCGAAATGGAAGAAACGGCGTGATGTTGATGAACATGAGTGCACGATGGCAACTTGCAGGGGTGGGAGACCGTGTATAGTGGAGAACTGGCACCGCGCCTCTCACACGTCATCCCGTGACTGGTTGCTGCATGTGGCTTGCTCCGTAACTTTTGTAAGTACAGAGTACGGAGTACGTACCTAGATACTTGACGCTGTGCACCGAGAGTCTGGAGGCCAGAGACAAGTTCTTCCTGGCCAGGCAGACCTTCCAGCCCTTCTACATACGACGAGGATGAAATCTCTCCTCTTTGCACATCAAAGCAGCCTCCGTCACTGGCAAGTTGGCTGATTGCCGGCCTGCGCCATCATGAACAACGAGCAGTTCCGCAAGCTGATGCTTGCCAATTCGAAGCAAGCATCCGGCTCAAAAAATGACCCTTCTCCTCCCGCCGCAAAACCCAGTGGTGGAGGCACAGCTCTTGGATCCCGGCAACGATCCAGCATGCCCATGACACCGTGAGTGCCCGTCTCGCCCAAGGTACCGTGAAGTTGTATTTTAATCAAAGTATAGGCGATCTGTTGCAGGCCATCAAAGCGATTTTGCTCGACAGCTTGCCGAACGCAACCAGTCTGAGCGGCCACAGAAAAAAGTTAGAACCTCGGCACCCAAAGGCGTCAGGCTCGCAGAGGGTTATGTCGACCGCGCGCGAAATCGGGCGACTGCCGAAATTGATGACCGAGAAGCGAGACTAGGGGCCCTCGAAGAATCGTACAAGAAGGAAGAAATTGACGAGGGGACATATGAGAAGCTACGATTTCAGATTGCAGGGGGTGACTTGGAGAGTACACATTTAGTCAAGGGACTGGATTTTAAGCTTCTTGAGCGAGTAAGAAAGGGGGAAGACGTATACAACGAGAAGCCATCTGGGTCAACAAATTCAGGGGCCCAAGAAGATGACACACATGTGGATGATGCCTTTGACATGCTCGAATCACAAGAGATTCATGCGATCGAAAAGGAAAAAACTGACAAGAAAGGCCAACTATCTACAGTTGCAGCGGGAAAGAAGAGGACAAGAAACCAAATCTTGGCGGATATGAAGGCGGCGAGGGCAGCGGCCAAGGCACAAGCTGAACCCAGTTTGGGTGATCGATTCCGCAAGATCGGAACGACACAGAAACTCGGCACGCGCATAGAAGTAGATAACAAAGGTCGGGAAGTACTGATTATCGTTGACGCCGACGGACATGAGAAACGAAAAGTTCGGAAACTGAGGCCTGGGGAAGAAGAGGAGTCAAAAGACATATTGCCAATGCCCGACAAGAACGCAAAGCCATTGGGCATGGAAGTCCCCGAGCAATTTAGAACAAAGGAAGAACCAGCGGCTGAGGATGACGGAGAAGTTAATATTTTCGATGACGTGGGAGATGACTACGATCCACTGGCCGAAATAGATGGTTCAGAGTCGGGCTCGGATTCGGATTCGGAAATGACAGAGCAGACAACAGCTGGAAATGGCGTCCCACGGGACAAGCTGACAGCACCAGATTCAATGCCGCCACCGCGGATACCGCAAACAGGCCCCAGAAACTACTTTCAAGATTCCAAGACACGCCTCATTTCCGAGGAAGAGGGAGAACGAGCGCCCTCCATGTCGGACCCAGCCATCATGGCGGCTATCAAGAAGGCAGCGGCACTACGTCCGATTGAGACAGAAGACGACGACGAGGAGTCCCGTCAAAATGCCGTGGCAGCTGAAGAGCGAAGAAGAAAGTTATTACAAATGTCTCAACGGGACGATGACGACCTTGACATGGGCTTTGGCACCAGCAGATACGAAGACGAAGAGGACTTTGAAGACCACAAACTCGCGTCATGGGGTGAAGATGATAATAGCGAAGGAGGCCATAGCCGGAATGCACGAAGCCAACGCAAAAGAGGTCCAAAGAAGCGCAAGGTCGATAAAAACAACGCTGCAGATTTTCTTCGGATGATGGAGTCCCGGAAGGCAGCATCATGACGATGATGATGATGTTTCAATAGGTGATCAATTAACCAACCAATAAATCAATCCTACGCTGAAATGTAAACAATAGTTTGCATACTGGTGAACGACAATGTTCGTATGAAGATGAAAAGAAGAAACGGATAATGTATGTAAGCCACTCCCCAGAGATCCCAGATGGTTGGATCTTGACATACCCGTTGGCAACTAAGTGGACTTCCACTGTAAAGGAAAACCCCACTTGCCAATGGGTACAAGACAGTGTGCAAAGTCGGGGACGACTGCACAAACAATCACAAGTAAAGTCAGCCCCGCGGGAGCCTTGACGAGTTGGAGACGAGCAATTGACCACATGACGCCGAGTGGGCCGTACAAAGGCTACAAACAGTGGCAATGGCCCCCGAAACAAGTAAGCCGCTTACCAAACCCCTGTGTTTGCTGGACGATGATGAGCAAAATGCAAGTCTTGATAACTCGGGAAATTACAGAAACTTGGATTTTTGATTGGCCATGACCTAAATTCGGTGCCTCCAACACACTTTCGCACATTCAAGGTGAGAAAGCGCGTGGAAACATTGCGGGACCCCGCATGGATGCCTGTATGTATATGTACATATTACAACATATTACTACTCCTGGTACCTGCCTGTTTTGTGGGGAAGCCTGACGGCCCCGTTGTTGCATCGGGTCTGTATCGGAGGGCGGCAGCCGGATGCAACGACTGCACAACAGCTTTGCAGCATTCACCCATCCATCTGATCTCAGAGTCTTAAATACCGGCCCTTAGCTCCCTCCCTCCTCGCTTCTCCCTTTTACATTATCTTTTCCCAAACATCATCTGGTACAAGGCGTTTTGGGTTGGGCTGTTTGCTAGATTACATCCCGTTGAATGACCGACTCTCAAATTGAAGGGTGGCTTCTGTACAATCTCGCTTCACCCGTGTCTAGACGAACTTGACCAATATCTGCCGAGTACAACATGACCGTCTCTTCCCAAATCCCTGTGTGGTTGGACTGTGACCCGGGCCATGACGTACGTATCATTCCATGTCATTGTTCTAGCCGCTTCCTTGCCGCCGTCTCTCTAGTTTCCTGATGGACACTTGCATTGTCTCACCTGTCCAAAGAAACACCATCAATCGTCATGATTGGTCAGGCTATGTGGTTGAGCAGAGTGCATTCTCGACAATGGCTTGTTGAATCTTTCCACAATTGGCAATGCTGACATTGCTGCTTCTCTTGCAGGACGTATTCGCCATACTGTTGGCAGCATACCATCCTCGCATCAACCTACTCGGCGTTTCTTCAGTCTTTGGAAACGCATCGCTAAGGCAAGTCCCGGCCGAGTATCAAGCGCATACCCCGATATCAACCCTGTTTTTTCCTAACATGAAACAAAAATAAAAAACAGCCATACCACCTGGAATGCCGCGTCTGTCCTCACAGCCATTGGCAAAGAGAAACAAGTTCCCCTTTACCGAGGCGCCGCCAAGGCCCTAGAACGCCCTGCTGTTCATGCCCCCGAAGTCCATGGCGAATCCGGTCTAGAGGGAACCTTTCTGCTACCCAAGCCAGAATGCGAGCCTGTCGAGAAGGATGCTGTTGAAGCCATGTTCGAGGCTCTCATGGCCCAGCCAGAGGAGACAGCGTGGCTCGTGGCCACTGGCTCCCTCACCAACATCGGCGTCCTGTTGCGCAGGTACCCCCAGATCATATCCCGCATCAAGGGAATCAGCATCATGGGCGGCTCCTTGGGAGAGGGCTTCTCAGACGCCATACTGGGCCACGCCGATGACAAGGACCGCATCGGCAACATCGGGTTCTGGGCAGAGTTCAACATCCTCATCGACCCCGAGGCAGCCGCCGAAGTGTTCCATAACAAGGAGGTCGCCAAGAAGACGACGCTGGTGCCGCTCGATCTAACCCATCAGGTTCTGGCCACAAACGACGTGCGAAACATGCTACTGTACGGGCCGGGCGGCAATAACGAGGGCAAGGGTAAGACGACCTTGAGAGATATGCTCGTCGAATTATTATATTTCTTCGCGGAAACATATGCGTATGTTGTACTGCTCTCCTGGACGCCGGCGCGAAAAACCACTAATATCCCAGCAGGAACGTCTTCGGCATCGCAGAAGGGCCACCGCTGCACGACCCCATCGCCGTCGCTGCGGTTCTCATCGGGACGTCCGACGAGATCCCCTTTTCAGAGTGGCACGAAAAGAAGAGCACACACCCCAAGCACAACGAGCGCTTCGATGTGACCATCGTCACGGAGGGGACCTTTGAAGAAGCCAGGGCGGGCACCAAACAGACAGGGCGCACCATTGCCAAGGCCTTGCCTGCCGGAGAGGAAGGCGTCAGAATACCTAGAAGTGTGGACGTCGCCCGGTTCTGGCAGGAGATTGAAGCCTGCGTTTCGCGCGCCGACACAGTCAACAAGAAGAATGATAAGGCCTTTTGGACAGAGTATAAACCGTGAGCTGCAAGAGTCATTTTGGTTTGTTTCTTGTTTATCTTTTTACTTCTTCTCAGCATGAAGAAATATCCCGCTTGTCTATATGGTGCTTTGTTTGGGGTATAAACATTAAAAGAGGATTAAATTACGCCGTGTGCTCGCTATTCTATACAAATATCCCCCCCATCCCCCTCCAACTAGGATAGAACAAGGGACGAGTAGAACGGACTAGGAAAGGGGGAGGGAAAGGTTCAATACAGGTTTCTATATACAAGTTCTTCCGTCCTAGACATTATAATTGAGCCTCTCGACTTGCATCGAGATTCATCAACAGCTTGAGACTGCGCTCATATGTCCACACGGTGACAGCGCTAGCGGGCGCAGACTTTATCAGGCTGATGGGGAGGCCCTTGTACAGCCCGCGAAGTCCCTCTGTGCGTGCAATGGCGGCGATTCCTCGCAGGGCGCTCGTGTACTCGGGTATGTCGCCGTAGACGTAGCGAGTCCTCGTCGGGCCCTGGACCTGTATCCTCTTCCGGACCAGGTCCAAGGGAAACACGGCCGTCTTGGCCACGATGCTGCCGACAACACCGGCGGTGGCGTCCTCGCCGCCCCACGGCACGTTGAAGCGCGACAGCTGGATCCGCAGCCCCTCGTACGTGACGAAGAAGAGGCCCATAAAGGGCACGATCTGGCCCAGCGCAGGGCTGATGCCCCGGAAGAAGCCCCGGTACCCCTCGTCCCGCCTGATGTCGCGCACGGCGCTCCTCAGGGAGGTGTATATCCTGCGGCGGCCCTGGGCGGCAAACCTCGTCCTCAGCAAGTCGAGAGGATACGTAATCGAGGTGGCGAGGGCGCCCGAGGACGCGCCCGCGATGAAGCTCTCGGCCGCGTCGGGCAGCCTTGTCGGCAGGGCCGTCTGCAGAAACAGCGTCGTGGTGCGATACGTGGTGAACTGTATGGCGGCGTAGCAGACGTAGAGCAGCTCCGCGGGGACATTGCCCTTCCAGAGTGCGGTGAGGCCTTCGTGCCGGAGGATGTGCCTGAGCGTGGCGACGGTGCCGCGGCACGCGGGCGCGGTGCGCAAGGGGCTGAGGGGGTCGGAGGGGGAGTATGGCTGAAGCTGGAGACGGATTTTCACGACGTCCAGCGGCGCGACGATGAAGCTTTTTGGCAGAGATTTGTTAGCGCATTTTTGTGGACAAGGGGCGACGTTTTTTTTCTTCTCTTTTTCATACCGAGACACAAGACCTGCTATGGCGCCGGCGGACACAACTTGGAGTTTTGTTCCCTCATCCTTGAGACGCGTGCTACGAGCGGACATGCGGCCTTCTGGAGGCGCGGCCTCGCTCTCGCATGACAACGTTGCCAGCTTGCCTGCTGGAGCTGCGCCAACGAGCTTCCGCCCGCTCTGGCACAGAGTTCACAAGCGGCTCTTGTGCTTGGCCGTGGACGGGAAATGGGGGTTTGGAGATTTGTCAAGATATCCCAGGCGTGCAGGTTGGTTGTTTGTTCACGCCTGTCCTCCGTTGACGGGCGGGCAAGTTGCGATGGCGGAGCCGCTGTGTCCGGAGGTTACGTGGGAAGTGCGCGCTTTGGGGGGCTGGAATGGTGCAACACTGGAATGCTGGAATACGCGGGCGCGGGCGCGGTGCATTGAAGTCATCGAGGTATCGTCGAATGTTGCATGTACTCAGATGTCTGAGTGGAAGTATTGGCGCAACAAAAATGTTATCGATACGTGACTGAAGGATGATGCAAGTGAGTGGCCTTGTCCTCGGTGTGGATAGTATGCCAGGGTCCCATTGGCTGCAGCTTGAGGTGAGTGAGTGACGGCATGCGGCGGTTTGGACCGGCGTGTTGGACAGAAGCCCGCCATCCCAACGCAAGGCTTCTGTGCCTGAAGGGTCTGGTTAGGTGCCCCGTAGGCATAGTACTTAAGTCTAAGTACTCACGACGGCGGGAGCACCTCGTCAAGTCTGGTACTCCATACAAGTACTCCGTACCAGGCACGAGTCTGGTATCCACCAAGACTGTTCGCGCGACCCACTGCCGCCAACCTTGCGGTCAGGGCGGGGATTGTCAGATGCAACCACAGTGCTCTGCTAAACACAAAGAGCAAATAAATGGATGCAGATTGCCCTGAGGCCGGTCTCACATGTCTGACCCTGGCTGCACTCCGCCTTGCAAACAAGCAAACGCAGAAAAATGCATGCAATGTACAATACAAATACCTGGTACTCGGCCTTGCAAACCACACAATTCCCAATGCCGTGCCGGAACTCACTTCCGCCCTGCGGCTTGATCTTACACACGCCGCGGGTCACGCCGCGCCTGCCATCTTCAACCAGACCCTCCTCTCAGAGATGTCGAGCATTGAGGGGCAGGCAAATAAATGCCCACGACCCGGTTGGTCAGCTGCGCCCTCGTTTCGCCTCACTTGGGCAAGCATGGCCAAACTTCCTTTGCCCCGAACAACCACACCATTTCGCCGCAGATGCCATTGGCCGGCTTTGCCAGCCTGCTGCAACGTGCAAAAAACGGGGACATGGCTGAAAGGATGTTCAATGTTCAAATGGATCCAATGTCCTCGCGGCCCCATGTCCCCCGTGGTTGCAGGTCGCATGGGCATGGCGCTTTTTGTCCCACATGGAGTACGAGACGGCGGCTTGACGGGACATGGACCCGCGTCACTGGACGGAGACTTGACAATCAATGCCAGCATCTCTCCATCTTCTCTTCTTTTTATTAAAACACCTTTCCCCTTTACCCTCTCTTCTCTCCTTTGCCCTTCTTTTCCCTCGTCCTTTCTCCTCTGCCCAATCGAAATTTGAGTAAACGTTGCTGCTTCGGACTTGTTCATACGCACCCTTGTCGGATCACCTGCCTGGAGGGGCAATGCGAATCTCGACTTCAACGCGAGCAACGACGTGTGATGGAATAGAAAGACGCTCCCTCCGAGGAACTTGAAACTTTGTCGAATGCCCGTATGAGAGCTTGACTGGATACTGCCGGGCGTCAATCTCATATACATCAACGCTTGTGCTTCAAAGAATCTCCTCTCTCTTCCTCTAAACACCATCGCGACTTCAGGCTTCAGAGCCTCACGAGTCACGACACCACCATGGCCGTCGTCATCTCTCCCCCTGACCAAGCAACCCTCCTTGCCCCTCTTCTCCCAGCTCTCCCAGCCGCAGCAGCATCAACCCAGCCGGCGCTCCAACTCCTCCCTCTTCTCTCCCCCATCCTCCGCCAACGAGTCCAGCTCCTCTCCGCCTCCAGCACTGAACCATGGCTCCGTCTCCTCTGCTACGACGCCAGCAAGGCAGCCAAGCTGGCTGACATTGCTCGCGGCCCAACCCTCGAGCCGCACCCGGTATCCGGCGAAGTAGAGGTCGATTGGGGTTACGACTCGGAAACACACTACAGGAGGCTCGACGAGGAGACACTGCAGGCCCTCGTCGCCCTACCGGAACTAGGTCTCGCCTTCCGCCTGGTATACTGCGTCAACGACAAGGAGGGCGGTGGCGATGGCTGGCGCATTGGCGAAGTCACTATTGCAGAGCGGCCTGGCCCGTTCTCACAGTTTGGCGGCGCGTCAAGCATCGCCGAAGCAGAGAAGCAGTACAAGGACAAGGAAGCAAAGAGCAAAGACACGCTCCGGGTAAATGGCACGGCCGCAAAGTCTACTCTGGGGGGCAACGACGACGAAGACGACGATGACTACTGGGCGCGGTACGATGCAACGCCCGCCCGAACCCCAGCCAACAATCGCAGTCCCGCGCCAAACACCGGCGACGCACGCCCCTCCCACCACCAGCAAGATGGTCCTCGATCAGCTGCTGAGGACGACTACTTTGCGCAGTACGACGACGTTCAGCCCGCCATGGACAACCACGACCCTGACGAGGAGGCTCAGGCGGCGCAGCTGTTGGGTCCCCTGGGCTTTCAGCAGAACCCTGCGGCTGCCGAAGTGAATCAGAACGGCGGCATCCAGCAGGACGTATCGAACGCCGAGATTGCCCTGCAGCATCCACGCCCCGAGTCAAGCGCCTCGTCTAACGGCTCCCGTACCGTCGCCAAGCTTGAGGAGACGGCGGGCAAGCAAGAGCAGAATGAATTCGGCGTGAAGCAGCACGTTTCGCGCACCATACGCAGCTTGTACATGCTCTCCAAGGCCAGCGGCATCGATAGGGAGGAGTTTGAGAGACTGGTGAAGACGGAGCTTGATTTGCTGGGCATCATGGATGAGGGTGAATGACGTGCGTCTTTGGGGGGCAGATTGGGGGCAATGTCACGAGGTGTGTACGTTGCGGTTGAACCATTTTTTCATGTCTGGTTGTTGATTATTTGGCCGCATTTTATGCATGGCGTTTTGTATTAGGTACATTCTCTGCATGGAACGGTGCATGTGCTTTCGGAGTTTTCGGAACTAGCATTCAGGAGAATAGATTTGTGGAGTTTTGATTGAACATGTACGAGGTTGTTGCGAGTGAATCTGGACGTGCTATTTATTTGCTCGACACTGTCGCTCAGTGCTGATTGGTATTAGACATCCAAGATGGTAAAAGTAGAGTTGCCCCTCCCCCAGTCCCTCTCGAACGCCAGTTTTGTATTTCATACATCCGTGAATTCATCATTCTAAAGTGTTGTTGAAAATCAAGAAAAACAAAAAGAAACTACCCCGGTCCCAGTCCCCTGCCATCTTCCTTTTGGGTACGACTCGAGGCATGTCTCCCATATTCACGCACAGAGCCGGCTAAACCTCAGCCGATACTGAGGTTATTCAGTGCTACTCTGGCCGATTCCACAAGCCTCGTGCAGTTTCTGTGCTCCGGCGGAACCGGCGCATTGTATTGAAGATAATATCTGGAATGATTTGGCATTTTGCCTGCCGCCATGAGGTCCTCCACTATCTGGTGCCGCAGTTTCGTCGACCTGTCCAGCTCGTTGATGACATCTTTTAAGCCCAGGATGGCGTGTCTACCGGGCAGCGCGTCTCCAGTCTTGCCACCCAGCCCGTAGACGTCAAGTTTGAGGATTGATTGCACCGTCGCCCGCCACACATCCGGGTCCAGATTCCTATTGTCGATTGCTTTCAACGCCGCACATCCTCCATGGTCATCCATGACAAGACCCCAGAGGCCACCAAACTCCCTGAAGGAGAAAAATATCCCCTTGCCATCAGCATGTGCGGCGTCGGCGTCGCGGTCAATCATTTCCATGATTCTGGCGTAGGCGTTGCACGCCGAGGGGACTAGAGCCCCCAGGCACGTCATATTTTGGAGCGATTGTACGGGCTGAGGCTGTAGAGGGTCTGTGAAGAAATATTGAAAGCAATGGGGGCATCCGAGAACATCTTGAGAGATTTTGGTCGCGTTTCGAGCGACTCTCATGGCCGAGGGGACGTCAGACGGCAGCCGCGTCAACGAGTCTAAAGCTAGATACAGCGATGAGAGACACCCGCAGGTGGAATTGGGGAGAGGTTTTGAGCTCGTGGATGCTTGTGGTGGCTCGGGAGATTCGATTATGCTAGAAACGTCACTTGATATAGAGGGCGGTGTCTCCTGGACTCGCGGCATCTGGCCTGCCACGTACTGGTGTAGGGAGTCATTGATATGCTTGGATATGCTGCCTCTCGTCGGCTCTGGCTCGTTGAAATCGATGCCCTGAAGAATATCCAGGCCTCCGAATTCTATTTGAAAGCTGTTACTGCCCAAGGAGCCATCTCCGGGACCTGAAAGGGAAAGGTACGGCTCTTGTGGAAGCGGGTACAGGTGAGCTGTGTCACTGTCGCCAGGGTTGTTGGACAACATGTCCAAGAAATTGAGCGGCTCATCGTCGATCTGGGGCATAAAATCAAGGTGTGCATTGGCCAAGGGATCTTGATGCGAGGAGAGTGAAAAAGACACCCTTCTGGGGGTAGGCAACACTTGTGGCCGCGAGGCATCGGTAGATGCATCCTCGGGGACGGGTTGTTCTATTGCGCGACGTTTTCGGGGCCGTCCCATAGGCTTCTGGGGCGAGTAGACGCATGAAATACCCTCCCTCTTGCATCTCTCACATCCGGTCGGATCCTTTGAACAAGCCAACTTCCGAGTACCTGTCTTGTGTGAGCGTACAAAAGTCTCCGACGTATGCCTCCGAACGAGGGAAGCAACGGGCTGCAAGGCAACTCACGGCATTCATCACAGGCACGATGCTTGGGCGTGCCAGCGGCCTTGGATTCTTGAGGTAGTTTCGTCGCCATGGTCATTCAAGAATACAGGCCCAAGGTGCCTTTGTTTTGCGAGAAGAGGAACGGCGGAATAAAGTCCGTATATGTACTGTGGCGGGTGATGTGATGGTGATCGGGGCTGACAAGCCAAACCCGCAGCGGGCCCTTGTGGTGGTACCGGAGATGCAGTGGAGCGTGGCGATCCCTTTGGGTGGTAAGTTCTCAGTCAGGACCTCAAGGTCAGCTTTTGAATCTGCTCCAGAGCATTGACCCTCATTAAGTATATCGTTACTTGTATTTTGGCTAAAGGCGCTACTAATTAATGCATTAAGAATTATGACAAGTACGTTATTTATCATAATAAATAAATAGCACGTATTTACTTGCTTATTTCTTAGTTCCTGTTGGATATCGTCCCTGGAAGAGATTTGACCTGTGTGATACATCAAAGAGAGATAGAGACCACACTCGTGCACTACCAGGAGAGTTCTCCACTTTTAGTAGTGTCAATCTAGGTACTTAGCTGGCAGAGCCACGATTTGATAACCCGCACGTTACTCCGTACTCTCACAGGGATGAGACTAAATGCTGTTGTTGGAGTGTTCGTGGAAGGAGCCACCAACGTGGCCTGACTCTGGAAGACCCCTAGTGCCAGGCTTCAGATTTGGACATCTCCTGAAGTAGATGGAAGTCAGAACACCAAACCTCTGCTACATTGGAAGCCAGTTGATATTGATCATCTTTCACCTCCAGGATGCAAGGCACCACGGTGCGTAACCTATACCGACACCAAGGGTAACTGCCGCTGATGTGCTCACTGATACGTCTCTAACAACCTCAGCAAGCTTCATGGACTAGTACGAGTATTTGTGGAAATGCTGACAAATGCTAGATGTCACCTTTGACGTTTTTATTCTACATGTAGAAGGGAGCTGGTGTAAAATGGCAAATAAAAGGAGAATTCAAAATGTGACAAACACCAAAGACTGGCTAGCCTCGTCTGGATGACCAGAGAACCTTTCAGCCCTAGGAGAAACACGTTGGTTGCCAGCCTCAACACCATGACAGGCCAACACCATTTGCCACACACAGGCTCCGTGCACAGGCAGCAGGAAAGAATATGCAAATAAAGTTGGCCTGTGGGTAAGGCAGGGCGGCCATGGCGAGCGAGTTTTGACTGGCCCGTAATCCATTGACGTGGATTGGAAATAAACTCCATCCCTGAATGGTTAGTCAAGCGTCCTACGCACATGCTGAAAACTTCTGAAGTGTTGGCTGACAGTCGTACAATGAGAACGGACCAGACGCCACCAACAACCACCTGAGGATACACATTGATGCGAAACACGACCCAGCTCGAGATGAAAGGCACCGAACGTCAAAGCGGGCTTGCACCACGAAACCGATTGAAATAGTTACCGCGAAACGTGGGAATCAGCCGCAGCCACATTGATCTGCGCGGGACGTACCCCAGACATCACTTTTCTTGGTAGGTACATGGATGCTGGGGTGCTAAACTGAAATCAACTCAGTCTCCCCATCGACAGCAACCTCACGCCGAGTGCTGAGGCGTGACCTCTGGTGCCAACATTGAATGCATGACCTCATGAGCGTGGTGACGCAGTCTTTTGAGCCAGACCCTTTTGAGCTTCAGCGAGCAACATTCAGCGGCACGGGACCTGCTAGCGACATCAGTAACTTTGGCAAATTTGCGCCTCCAACACTCCGGCCAGAGCGTACATGTCGATCGATCCGTACACACACTGGCTGGGTGTACATGTGCGCCATTGATGTCCAGAGTACAGCAACTGAGACCACCTACTACGGCACCGCCAAGCATAAAGTAATTGAATGGTCAACATTCAACCATCCAAAACGTCATTGTGCAACATTGACTAGTACTGCATTCCGAAGCAATGTCCACATTGCCTTCCACAGATAAGGCTTGAATCCCTGGTGCCCAATCAAGCAGTCTGAGATATCCCGACATAATTAATGCCCTACTGGCCTGGACACCGCCTTGTCAATTTTCACAAAACACCACCCGCCACCCACGACGGAGTTTGTACCTGCAGGCTCAAGGCCAGAAAAAATTATATGCACGCGACCACATCACCTTTGAGACATTGGAGCACCCCCCGTCGAGCTCCATGTCTTCCATAACACTCCCACGTACGATGAGCACAGCTGCACTCAAACCGTGAATCCCATCACCCTCACGACTCTTCCGGCTATGGACCGCCTCGACGTTGCTGTGCGCACAGCATATCGCACAGCGTTTCTAGACGCCCTGAACGATGGTCGAGCCAAGCCGCTGCTGATTCCGTTTAGTATCCTGGGGACATCTGTTGTCCCTACATTGTGGCTGACCATTCCGCATACCTCGAGGCCGTGGGTGTACCAGACGAGGTGGTTGGTCATGGCATTTGTCATTTGCTTCAATGTCCATGTCACACGAACCGCCTCGAGTACTAATTTTGCCTGTGCATACGTCGTGGGGCTGATGGCGACTTGGGGGACTATACTGACGATGAATTTGCTGATTTGGAGGCGGCCGCAGTTTGACGCCGCAAGGGTCATCAAGGTCAAGCTTGGGAAGAAGACTGTGAAGGCTGAGAATGGGAACCTGAAGGCGGATAATGAGCATGTGGGTGAGGATGGGCTACGGCAACGAAAGCAAAACGCGGTTGCAGTCTCGTACGGCGACTGCGACGGAGCCAATGACGAAAAGGAAAAGGACGAGCATCATTATATCTGGCAGACATATCCAGAGAAGGGCACATTCTTGGACCGCCTAGGCTGGGCGCTCGACCTCTCACTCAGTTTCCGTGGTGCAGGTACGTATTCTTACCGAGACCTTTCATCACATCCCATCTACTCCGTACTTTTGTACAAAGAAAGCGGCTAACCATCCAGGCTGGAACTACGCCATAGCATCAATCCCGCGGCCGCCAATCCCGCGGCCCATCCAGCACTCCTCGCCCGTCAGCATCACCACTATCCCTCAAAAGACCCCAAGCGGCCACGCCATCCCCCTCAGCGAAGCCCAGCTCCTAACCAGCCGCCTCGCTCGCATCGCATCATGCTACCTCATCCTCGACCTTCTCTCTGTCCAGATGATGAAGGATCCCTACTTCATACACGGGCCGCACATACCTCACCCCAACTCACCTCTGCTCCTCCTCTACAGAGAATGCATGTCCCTCGTGGGGATATGGGCCGCCATCAACGCCGTGTTCAATCTGAACGACGTGGCCCAATACTACTTCTTGAAGACATTCTTCCCTTCCCGCGCCGCCCTATGGCACTATGCATCTACGTTTGGCTCCGTGTCAGAGATATTCAACCGTGGACTAGCAGGATGGTGGGGTGCATGGTGGCATCAGACATTCAGGCTAGAATTTCTCGGTCCATCCATATATCTCCTGCAAAATGGATACATCAAGCGAGGCACACAGACCGCCGATGCAGTCGGCTTATTCGCGTCCTTCCTCCAGTCGGGACTCATGCACGCGGCAGGGAGTGTTTCTTCGATTCCGTACACCAAGCCTTGGCGATCAATGGTGTTCTTCCTGCTGCAAGGTATTGGGATCGTTTTGCAGCAACGACTAGCTCTCTGTTTGCGAAGAACCATGGGTAGTTCGCCGAGAATTGTTAGACAGCTGGGCAATGGACTGTTCTGCCTTGCTTGGCTTTACATGACTGCGCCGTTTTTCATAGATGATGTGGCGTCTACCGGGCTGTGGATGTTTGAGCCGGTTCCCATTTCACCGTTGCGCTATATGGGATTTGGACATCCAGAGGATCACTGGTGGCGGTGGGATCGGGATCATTTGCCGAAATGGTATCCTGCGAAGCACTGGTGGGAAGTTGGAATTGCGTTATAGACGATTAAGATTGTTTTTTTCGGACATCCACAGCATTGCATAGCGGATAGCATTATTCATAGGTAGATTGATTGATTATACATACTCCGTATTACAGGCCCGGTAGGTAGGCTCATATCATACTGGTAGTTGTAGTTAGACACTCACTCCGTAACCCGTCACGTGGCAGATGACTTTTTATTCTGTGCCTTCAACCATGCGATAACAGGACCGTAATTAGCCTGTTTCTTGCCTAGCACGTCCAAAAAGGCATCATTAGCAGCACTGCCACAGATTAGTCTCATTCATCACAAACGGTACGACGCAACAGAAAGTACCTCATGACTTGTCCCTTTTGGATACAACACGAATACTCGGGATATCGCAACTTTCTCGATTTGCTCGATATAATCGAAAATGCAACTTCAGAAACTTTCAAAATAGTGCCTATATTATGTCAGCAGCGCAAGTACAAAAAATAAGAAATACAAAATGGGAGGAGCGGGGAAGGATAGAGATATTGACAGGAAGAGAGAAACCGGGGGGGATCGTCATGGTGCTACATACGAGTAATCAGCGCCGTACTTGGCTGCCGTCCCTTTGGCAAACATCGTATGTACGCCCACATTTTGCGCGCCGTCTCAGCAAACGCACCACGCAAAGAATCAAGCACAGTCCGTGGAGCATTGTGCGATGTATCAAAGAACATGAGGTGCGACTGGATCTTGAAAGCATCTGTTTAAAACATTAGCGCCTGACAATGACAGGGAACGGCACTCGGGGACGGTTCCGCACTGATAACTTTTCTCTGAAAGTTTTGCCCTGCTGATCGTCCATAGTCCACTGTCAATGAGTTCGACACACCTGCGCGTGTTAGCTGATTCTTTTTGAGAATAGGTTTCTAGACGGCTTACAAATGGCAGCCTTCGCCTCCCCGTCCTTGGTAATGTCCAACGACCTGTCGTCAATCCGTGTTCCGCAGTACGGGAATCCCGTTGTGCCAGCTTTGCAGACGGGTTTGCCATCAATCTGCATGTCGAAATTGACCAGCGTCTTTCCGGGACTGACTTCCACCCCATACTGGGGAACTCCGTGATGCATCGTCTCGACAAACCGCACAGCCTTGTTCTTATCGAGTGTGATGAGCAAAAAGTCATCAATGAGCCTCATCAATAAGCAATCCGGGCCCAGAAGAAAGCCCAAGTGCTTTCTCTCCAGGTCTGCATAAAAGTAATTACACAGAAACGAGGATAAAACCGAACCTTGCGGTATCCCCCGTTTCTGACGGTAATACTTCTTGCCAATCTTGACCAAATTTCTTTGAACATGGTCGGCTAACAGGGAAAGAAGCGATTCCGTATCCCAACCTTCCAGCGCTACGCGGTCGACAAAAACAGTGTTTCTCTTCTTACTTGCTAGGCCATGCCGGAGCCGGTCCACGAACGGTGGCATGTCCCGAGCAAGGACGGATGCGTGCCATCGCCGAATTGCTTTGGTGGCAGTCTTTTCTGGTGCCATCATGGCCCGCTCGCCGGGTTGCACTTCTGCGTGTTTGGTGAAGGTGTATCCTTGCTGGCTTGGTATGGATTTCATGAGTTGTATGATGGCGTCTTGGGGGATGGTGTCGAAGGCGGACTGGACGTCGACCTTGGCGAAAAACAATTGGCTCGATCCACTGGGGAGAGACAGTTTAAACATCTTGAGTTTGGCATACATGTCGCTGACGGAGAACAGCGATGATGCTAGTTGTTGCGGGTTCGTCATCTACAGCCAGTAAGTATTGTTTTGCAGCAATCCGATCTGATGGCAATCATGCATACCTTTTCAAACTTCAAAGCCGTGTGGACTGGCCCAAGAAAGGAGTTGATGCTGCGCTTCAGAACCTTGGCCCCTGTTCTAGTTGGTTGTCTCCTGCGCAGATTCATAATTGGTCGCAATTTTTGTCCTTTGGGAAGCAGCCGAATTTGACTGAATCCTAGATCCCTGGATTCAAGAATTTCATTGGCGCTGGTGATTGTCATCTCCTCGAACATGTCCGACTTCATAACCGACAGAGTTGGTTCTGCGATACGGCGCCAAACATCGTGGTGGAAATAAAACACTTGGTAGCGGTGGGTGTTGGACTCTGTGACATAAAAGTTTGTTTGGATGAGTGGTATCAGTAATGAATCGAATAAATAATACAAAAATTCGTAAAAGAGCTCGCAGCGTTTCTTTATGTCCGTCAGGCCGGCTTTTTGGGTCCCCACGCCTGGAGGTTGTAGCCATGGGATGTGAGCCGTCTAGCGCCAATAGGTTAATTCTCATCTCACCGCATGCAGTATACAAGCATACCTTCATCCCTTGGTATATTTCGTGCAAGGTCATGGTCTCAAATCGCCGAAGTCTGATAAAGTGGTCGACGCTGCGAAGGAACATGGCCTTGTTGTGGAAAAGGGTTTCACCTGTGCCCCAGAAATCGTTGGGCACGATATGTGTCAGAGCTGCCTGGCAAAATGCAGATACCTGAGAGGATGAAGTCGCTAATTTAACCACTGAGTTGGATTGAAAGCCACCCAGCGGCGGCTTGGGCGTCGGGATTATCTGCTGACGGTCGTTGGTCGCAACAGGGGCTGGCGGCTCTATTCTGCGTTGCCCTTTGCCAAGGTCCGTCACCTGGGATCTTTCGTCCAGCGGAAAAGAGGATTCATGGGCCCGCGATCCGCCAATCTGAGAAGGGCAGTAGTGTCTTAGAAGTTCTTCGTATGAACAGCGGCTATGGAGTATCTGAAGTCTCTGAACGAGGCGCCAGGCTTCCCCCCTTAGACGCTTGGGCAGCCTTGGTGTCCCATTCTTTGAGCAATGTTTAGGATCTTTGGTAAACTCTTTGATCTCCTCCTCCCGCGAGGTGTAGTCTTGAAACTTTTGCGCTGTCTCCGAGACGTTCACGTTGGAAGTGAAGACATTGTGTAACCCAAACTGTCTTGGAAACATATACATAGTGAGCTTGGTCGTGCTCGCCTTCATTTTTTCGGCATGGTGACTCGTCCCGTCATCTTTGCCGGCGCAACACCGATTGAGAACATCTAATCTATTAAGCGACGTTCTCCAAGAATGCTGGAGAAGAAGCAGGGGGGCCAACTTACGAATGGATTTGAAACCATGCCGAACCCGGCCGCGCGCTGTGAGAACTGGCCTGGCATAGAATATGCGGCTTCTTACCAGTGAGATGTCTGACGGTTTGCGAGGCTCGTTGGAGCTACTACGGTTACCGCCAAATTGCAACTCGGAGAGGGGAATGCCTGGCCAACGTTAGGGCTGGCTCTGTGTAGAATTGCGTATTTCACCGCACCGTTCGTCCTGACTTACCGCTTATCTGGTAGTAGTTGCCAATTCCTGCGTCAATTGTCACAAAAATGGAGCGTTCAATGAGAAGATCAACCATGACTCTCTGTCCCGAATGACCCAGCAATGCCAGCACCTGCGGCCAAGGCTGTCGTCTCAAGGCCGCAGCGTGATGATTCGGATACTCCCTCCACACACCTGGGATGGAAGTGTTTTGAGGATCACCCTCTTTGGTTCGTTTACGGTATCCATCGCAGAGAAGGTGTTTCGGCCATGCACCTGGCGTCTTCTGCCTATTGAAAAGGGACCATATGGCAAAGTCCACAAGCTAGCCCGCCCAATCAGCAACTCAGCAACAGTACAACTCCAAAGGTTCGGTGAGGCCCAATGAAACAAACCTCTGATAGCGTGTTCTCGGATGCGGGCAAGTCACCCGATATAGTCACATGCGACTCGTCTCCATTTTGCGAAAATGACAACCACTGTGCGTAAAGGGCATTATCGGTCTGCAAAATGGCCTTGGAGTCGCAGATTAATGTCGAATCCAGAAATTCGGAAACGGCTGCTTCCAGTTCACTGACGGAATTACCCTTGCCGAGGGAACTGATCTTTTTTCGACGCAGTCTGGAGCTGCTTGGAAGCTTGAGCAAGGCATACTCCCGCAGAGTCAATACGGTAGCATAAGCGTGTCGTAGGAGATCCCTCCTGACGGGCCCGTCACAAGCCACGACGCCGTTGTCCGAATTTGACGCGTCTCGCTCATGACGCTTTCGCTTTCGGCCAGAAGTCATGACCTCACGAGCCCGGCATATGGGCGGCGTCACAGGATGGTGGTGAACTGGCCGACAGTGCCAACTCACACGCGTTTGTTTCGAATGGTGTTTGGCTAATGAATAGTGAAGCCAGTTCAAGCCACAGACGGATCGGCAGCTGGCTGGTGGTCAGCAGTGGGTTCGATGTCCAGTCAATGTCCAGTCAACGTGGCTGGTACCATTGTCTGTGCGGCGGGTGTGGCTTCGCGGGTACGGAGTACATACAGTCTGGAGACAAAGTTGGTTCAATTAATTGACCGACACAAAAAGTTGGAGACGGAGCTGCTGTCAAAGCACTTGGACTCTGTCTGCATGGTGTCAACCTTTTGATCCAAGATGATGCAGGGCAAATGGGTTGACAATGTTCAAGCAGGACTATGAGGACTCCGGTGACAATCTGAATCGTCGTTTCCACCCCGTACAGGTACAGTGTTCCACACGGAACTACTAGTACTAGTAGTACGTAGTAGTACTAGGCGTCGAGGCGCTAGTGTCCAATCTGTCACTGGACTGGAGAAAGCTCTATTAACTGCTCAAGTGGGCGGGATTGCGGAGATATCGACTACCCGTTTACGGAATGGCAGCTAGTAGTTAGTGGTTAGATTAAGGTCAGCACACGATGAATAAGCTGTCAATGGTCAACTGCCACACTGTGGCCAGGGACTTTGTGCAACAGCACCATGGCAGCTCATGGTTAAGCTTCCGTGGAGCTGCGTCCAACACACCGACGTGTCTGCGTCTGGTCGACTGTGTAGGCACGTCAAGTTGGGGCCATCCGTAATACCGAGTACTACCACTACTACCCGCAACAATGTATTGCCATGTGACACAATGCCTCAGTTGATTGCGGGTTTATTGTCAGCGTTGGCCAGAATCTTTTGATGAAACGTCGTGCAAACACAGGATGACAGCCGTTGCTCGGCTGGCCAGGGCGTTGCCAACCTTGTGATTGGCGAGATTGGTCAATAATTGTGTCCTCGTCTTTGTCCCAAAGCGGCTGACTCGACCAAGGCGGCCATTAACGATATTACGATAGTATCTCGACGATGCGCGTGTTGTTTTTGTTCGGCTTCCTCCATCAGCAAAAAACATGAGTGGGGAGAGAGCCCTCCCTTGTCACACGTTTGAGTCCTTGGTGTCGCATCGACGACCGCTCTACCGTTGTAGTAAAACAACGGCCTGAAACTGCTTCCAACCGCGAGTGGTACCTTTGCCGGCGCGGGTTCCATCAACAAGTTGCATTGGACCAGCGTCGAAAGGCATTCGTAACTCGGCACGACAGTTTGCCGAAGTGAATTTCCCCTTACTTCTTGATAGGGACTCAAATACCCGTCCTGATTGTATGTACACGTCGTAGAAGCGAGACGTCGTCGATGGCTCATGAGATGGAACGGAAATGTTTACCGTGACAAAATGACAAACGACGCCACGGACCTGGGTCCATGGGTTTAAAAATAAGTAGCGGCTATGGGGGGATTGCCGGGGGGTCATCATCGGGTTCGGTTGCTGAGAGCGATCATCATTCGATCTCTTAGTCTACTGCTGCTCGATTGCGGCACGGCAATGACTCGTCGTTTTCGTGTTTGGCCTTTTAATCAAAGCGCCAAAACGTGGCCTACAAACGGGTCGATGCACGTAGTTGTGGCATCGTGGTGTCACGGCAGAGGAACAAACGTGGGCAGAAGCCAAGAGAGGAAAACAATGGCTTAAACGTGCCAGTCGAGAGGGATACCCTGGCTTCGGCGAAATGTCAATCATGCGCGAGACCAAGACAACAGGCAGGATGAGACTACTATTATGTATTTATTTACCTACTTAAGTACTTAAGTACATAGGCGCACCTGGGGATTTTCTATCATGTGTACGAGCATGTACGTACCTGTAGTTTTGACGTGTCGAGAGCAGGCCAAGAAAACGGAAATCCCAACACGGGCAGGAGCGACTGGCAATGGCAACATTGGAATGCAGTGCCTAGTGCCCTAATTTCTTCTGATCTGGCGAATGCTCGTGTTCATCAGCCCTTCAATATTTCTTCCTCGACTTGCATTGCACGGGGGCGTTGGGCGCTGGGCAGCAATGCGAGGCCAACGGATGTGCGCCACGGGCAGGGCTTGCCGCAGCCTGTAGGGAGCATTTTATACTTCAAAAATTGTCAACTGGTTCACGTCATCAGGTTAGTTGTTGTCAAGGACCGTTGATGATTTGGCACTGACTTGACACACCGACACTAACAGGGTTCAGTGAGAAATACGAGGACGATGAGACGCAAGGCGTATTAAAGCCTCGCACACAAGGATCCGAGTCCATTGAAACCATCAAACTATGAATTCGACATGGTATTTACTCCTACTCTTGGCTTCAGGAGAACACGTTCGGATTTTTTGGTTAAAAGGGACATGCATGACACACATCGACAAGATAGTTGCAGTCACGACTTGTTTAGGTGAGCCGCAGCCTCGGCCTAGGTCCGTTTATGTCCTATCTTGGCCTACCTTCCTCCGGCTTGGCGAGATTTCAATCAAGACGACGGGTGGAGCAGCAGCAGAAATGAGCCGAACACACCACAGCATGTCACATATTCGCCAGCTTGCAGCATCCTGCCCTGCTCTTAGCCCAGGAGAAAGATGATCCTCGTTGCAATTTCAGTCGGTGCAGCCAACTAGTTGAGCGCAGGGCCGGGTCAAGGGATTGTTTGTGCGAGGCTCATGTCATTCGTTGGAACCCATGCTGTACGGAGTATATAGTATGACATAACTGGCTGGCCCTGTGCCCCCGTGTGCTGCCCTCTGACATTCGGGTCACCCTTCCTTGACATGGCTATTGTCTCTTGTTGTCCTTCAATCCTGCCATGGTTTGTAATGGCGCCGCGATGAATAAACATGCCGACTACGGAGGACCGAGTACGCCACTGAGATTCCAGGGCCCCAAAGCCCAAAGATGGCGGCACGGCTCATCGTGGGCCTGGTGGTAATGTCAAGTGCTCAAATCGCCTGCCCTGCTTACTAAGTACCTACTTAGGTATGCACATATGTATAAGTCTTCCTTTGTGCCACCACCCAAACCCAATTGATCCTGGGAATCGGGCGTATGCACCAGGACCATTTGGTGCGGTTCCATCCCTTCACCTTCAGATGCCGGAGGCGACGTGCGTCAACGTGAGTGGAAAGAAGAGCTTCAATGTTGCCCTCTCCTGCGTGTGCCCGCCTCCAGGGCCCTCCAGGGCCTGCAGCATATGCGACATACCAGACCCGACGTGGATTCCGTACGTACGGAGTCGCTAAGCCTTTACCTTATGTAGTCAATAGTAGTAGTAGCATGTATACCAGACTCCTGGGCACACGAGCCGACTCCCCCTTCAAGATGGGGACATGATTTTCGTGATCTAATCAGTGTCTGCATGTGGGCGCGTGCCTGGCTAACCTTTGAACCCGGACACGCGCTCTGGCTGTCTGGTCCGTGGCTGTCTCCGACCGCCACCAGTTGAATGCCCCCTTCCCATCCATCCTCCCCACGTCGTCCCTGTCGTCCCTGTCGTCCCTGTTGTCCCTGCTGTCCCTGCTGTCCCTGCTGTCCCTGTCGTCTCCCGTCTGTTCGCAAATGCTAGAGCCACCATCTCATCTCCAATCAATCAGCCTCACTCCATGTCCGTACGCCTCAAGTTACAAGGTCGAGCCTCCTAGAGTCCACCAGCGCCTGTCACCCGGTGCTTCCCTTTCCGTCGGCCCAACTCTGTTCTCCCTCCGTCGTCTGCCAACGTATCGATCGATGCCCGCTGCTGCGAGCACTGTCATTTGTCTTTCATCGTGTCCCGACCAGTCACGAAGCCTGACCAGCCTGACCGGATGCACAGGTCCTGGCCACTTGCTTGGCCATCATGGACCCGGCCCCGGATGCTGGCCAGCTTCGAGACGATGCTGTCGATACCCGCCTTCCCGCCTTGGGCCACCAAAATCTAGAGCACGACCTCAACCTCCGTCACCACACCAGCCCTGTTTCTCTCCCAATTCCATCCCCAACCGACTCCTTCCTCGAATCTCTCTCCTACACTGACTGTGACCTAAGAAACGACACTCAGGACGACGGCCTCTCGTACCACCAGGTGGACATCCCCGATTCATATTCAACGACGACCTATCACGACCCGACGGCCTCGACTGGGGACAACCATCATGCCCCTTCGCCTTCCTTAGACCCCGACGACTTTTACAGAAACTATCGTGGCCTAGACAGTAGTACAGGCTTAGACCTTCTACCCATGGCAACCACCTCGTCTTCTCGCGCGTCCCTACAATCCAACGGAGATGGAACTGCCAGTCTCAAACACTCGGCGGTCCCCGCCGCTACACGCAGTCTGCCACGAGCAAACCTTCGCTCCGTTTCTAGTCCTTTAGACACGACAGTATCTGCAAATAGAACCCTCGTCCAAGCGATGCCCGCTGGCAAACCGAGCGTGAAGGACTTGAAGAAACGATTTGACCAAAATGCCATGGCCGCTGGCTCTGCCATCCCGCTTGCTCCTAACAGAGTAGTTCCTGTTTCAAAGTCTCCTAGGTCCAGGAGCAGCGCACAGGAGCATCGCATCCCTCTCTCAGCCACCAATCCGGAGACACGACAGTCGCCTGCCTGTGGCAGAAGCATTGGTGGTGTTGCTGGGTCGTCGTCGTTGCCGCTGCGACACTCCAAGTTTGTGGTTGACGATCATGCTTCCACTAGCTCGCAGTCATTCGCTAGTCGCATCGGCAAACCGCGGAATTATACGGACGTGGAGAAACCATCCCCGCCAACACGATTCAATCATCGCCAGGTGCCTTCTACTTCCTCTGACGGCGGCAAGCCGACAGGTTTGTTATTTGGCGAGATTCTGCGCGACCATGACGAGGCGTCCGCCTTGGGTTTTGGCATTGATGGACTCCGCGCGCGGAGAACCTCGGAGTCTAGCATCCAGCATCACAGCACACACCATCGCACCTTTTCTGGGC